AGACAGAGCCCACGGCCACTTCTCAAGGCTATTTCATGCCAAGCCTCGTGGATATGCCATGGCTCAGCCAACGCCCTAGGGAGACTGGGCTGCATGACAGCACACAAATGTGTGTGTTTGCTCTGCATTTGCCCATGATTGCATTTGAGTTGCTCTACCAAGAAAAATAAAAGTAAAAATCTGCTACCTCCGTGGTGTGAGGTACCCATACGGCGGGCAGGCAGGTCCAGCCTGGTCTGGCCTGACCCTATACCTGCCCTTGTGGGGATTTGGGGTGTAGGCTTGTAGGGGGTCTGGGAGATCTTGCCAGCAGTGGTGTGGGGAGACTTAAGTCCTTGTTTCCAGGCAGGCAGAACAAGCCTGGGTATTTTCCCATGTGCGGGCTCTGTGGATTGATCAGGGAAGGGGATAAGGAGATACATGGAAGGAAAACTGCTGGGGAATATGTTGCAGGCGGGGAATGACTTCCAAGGAATACTCATAGACAAGGCCATTGTACTTGTAGGTAAGTGAGGGGGCTGAAACTGAGTGGCTTGGAGTGTGGAAGTTGCAGGACTTTTATGTGTCAGAGAGATGCACCAGTCCATCCTGGAGATCTCAGCTGGGCTAGTTAGCATGGGTCACGGCTGACCACCACTCACCAGTGCACATCAAAACTAAGACTGGGGTTAGACCATGACACTAAGCAGCATGCAAGAGAACCAGGTCCAGGGGTAGATTCTTGGGGGATATGTGGGCCAACTCCTGATGCTGAGGAGAGGTGTACTATGCCAGACTGGGCCACACCACCCACAAATGCACATGCGACTGGGATGGAGGGTGGCATGTGAGCCTGGTAGGGGGGCCTATGGGGCTTTCCTGCTAGGTCACAGCACCCACTGGTGAGTTTGAGTACTAAACTGGCGGCAGACCAGGTTGGGTAGGGCCACAACACCTGTTTGACCTGCATTTGAGCTGGGTTAGGGGGAGAGCCAAGCTAGGATGACTGTATTCGCTAGGGCAGGCATGAGCCAGAGTAAATGCAGGCTGGCAAGTACTGGGACTGGGGGCAAGTCATGTTAAGCAAGAATACAGAGCCACCTGACTAGTACAAGATCTAGGCTAGGAGTGGGCCCAGTAGGGAAACTAAGGGCACTTCACTGATGGCTGCAGCTCCCACTGGGCCTGGCCGGATGGGTAGCGGTACCCACTGGCATGAGTGTGGGCTGCATAGTGGGGTTGGGTGGGTTGAGCTGTTTCAACACTCAGTGATGTATATGAGTTAAATGGGATGTGGGACAGACTGGATCAGTCTGCTGCACATACTGGCAAGCCCAGGACCCAGGGCTGGGGGTGGGCTTGGTGGGAGCTATTGGGACTGCAGGATCCACTGGTGAACGTGAGGGCTGAGTATGTGATGAGCAGGGTTGGGCTGGGCCTCAGCATCCACTGGTTTACCTAAGAGATGAGGTTGGAGACAGAACTGACCCTTAATTACAACTACCACTGTGTGTGTGTAGGCCAACAAGACAGACAGACTGACCGGACCCTATACTGGCAACACACAAGAATCAGGTCTGGGATAGCCTCAGACAAGGTTCCTGTGGGGATCCCCTCCAACTGAACTACTGGACTCCAACCATAGGGAGACCATGTGGTCTGCCATGGAGTGCATGTTTCAGAACTAGACTCCTTAGTGGCTAAGAAAAGCAGACAGCATGCCCAGAAGCACATGGAGGACATGGCAGCCCATTGGAGCCTGCCGAGAACATCTGGTAAAATAGCAGAGCAAGGAGAGCAGAACAAACTGCTCAACTGCTGCAGCCAAGTGTTGACAGCAAACATCAGGGCAAATGGAGATGCTGGGGTGGACTGTCAACAGATGGACCTTGGAAGGATTTCCTCATCCTTGGATCGGTGAGATCGATGGAATTTCAGCGGGCTCCTCGGAGCAAGCCCCACATTGGGAACCCTGGGATGGCACTGGGTGGCTGCTCCCCATTCCTGGGTACTGGATGGGGAGGGGAGGTTGGGTGTGGCTTCTCCCCTAATTTCCCCTCTTCCCCAGATGCAGGAGGAAGAGGGGGAAGATTTGGAAACAAAGGTCTCATCCTGGACAGCTATGTAAACATCTTCAAAAATTAAAAATTAAGGAATCCTCACCTGCTACCTCGTGCATTGCTGACAAGCTGGAAGTGGGAGTGGAGCAGGACTCCCACCTAGGCACACCAACGTGGGTGAGATGTGCAGGCCTGAGCAACATCCCAACTGCTCGGCGGGCCGATCTCTTCTTCCTGACTGTTGTTATTTTTTCATGACTATAATGAAGTATTTAGGACAAGTTACTGGTAAGGAAAAGAGATTTTATTCAGATGAGTTTTGGAGTTTCAAAGAGCAAGCTACCTGGCACATGGCTCTGTCACCTGGTGAGTGGGAAGGAGGGGAAGGGGCAGAGAGAGTATGCCAGCCAGTGCACAGGCGCAGCTTCAGGCTTTTGTAACACCCTTCAAGGGAACTAGGAAGTTTTCACCCAAGGGTCTGCCTCCAGCAACCTAAAGATTCCCACCAGGGAGCACCTCTTTGGCACTCTGTCACATGGAAACATTTAATACTCAACCTAAGCCACAGGCAACACATGCTGATTAAAGTATTCTAAAAATCAGGGCCTGGTGCGATGGGTCAGTGGCTAAATCCTTGCCTTGCATGTGTAGGGATCCCATAAGGGCAATGGTTCATATCCCGGTTGTTTTACTTCCCATCCAGCTCCCTGCCTGTGGCCTGGGAAAGCAGTGGAAGACGGCCCAAAGCCTCAGGACTCTACACCCATGTGGGAGATCTGGAGGAGGCTCCTGGCTCCTGGTTCCGGATTGGATCAGCCCTGGGCGTTCCCTAAGTCTATGGAGTAAGCTCAGACATGGCCCTGCTCTGGGCTGTGTGGAAAATGGGGCTTACCCAGCTCATAACTCAGATCGCCAGCTAAAGAACAAGAAACTGGTCAACTAAAACATTTTTACATATAAAACCAAAATGGGAATGCTGCAGCCTCAAGTTCTATCTCAACTGTCCAGTTTCAACCAAAATTCAAACTTATTCCTGTTCCTAGTCTTCCCTTTGTCTTTAGCAATAGCACAATCAAGTTAACAACATTCCCCATTAAAACGCTTCCCTTCCTGAACTTCTTTGACTAGAGGCCAAGGAGACACAAGGGCAAGTCTCCACACAGGACTTCAGGTGACCTGTCTCCCTGGATCCTACTTCCTGTCTGGTTTATAGACACAGGAGCTAAGAAGATGCAATGAGGGTTGTGTGCAAAAAAGAGGGGAACAGGAACAGAGCAGGAGCTGAGGCTCTGACCGTGCACCTAACCGGCCCCCTCCAGGACTATTTCCAGATTCAAAAGAGACAATAGCTGCAAGGCACTTTAGACTGGGGCTTCTGCATGTGTGGCCAAAGATAACTCCAACACAGACGCTACAACCACAGACTCTCACAGTAGAAGCCAAACACAGGTGCAGCAGATGCCAAGGCCATGCAAGCTCCACGTACTAAGGACTCAAGACACCTTCAGAGCTACACGTTAAAAAAAAAAAAAAAAAGTTTTATTTATTTGAAAGGCAGAGTGACATAGATCTTTGACTTGGTTCACTCTCCAAATGTCCTCCACAGCCAGGGCTGGGCCAGGCTGAAGCCAGGAGCTAAGAGCTCCACTGAGGAATCTCACATGGCTGGCAGGGGTCCAGGCACTTGGGCCATCTTCTAAGACCTTCCTGAGGAATTAACAGGAAACTGGGTTATAAGGAGAGGTGGTACTTAATTCCAAGGCCTCTGATATGGGAGCAGCTCAACTTACTGCATGAAAGTGCTTGTGTCCTGAAATATCTAATGGGTAACCAGAAAATACATAGTCCCATTAAGGTGTTACTTACTGCTGTCAGCCAAGCAATGAAAACCTTTGTAAGTGATTCAGAACTAGCCCAGGATAAAAGTGAATGGCACATTAAGTACATTACAGTCCAGAGATAAACCCATATGCTGGATTTTTTTTTTTTTCATTCAACTGAGCTCTGATGGGCAGCTGCTGCAGTTTAGACATCAGCTGGATACCCCTCCGACAGCCCTGATGTTGGTCCCCAGTCTTGTGTTAGTGGCTAACGGGTGATCTGATCACGGTATCGGGAAGTCATGAGGTCACCGGGGTGTGGCCATGGCTGGATGCTCTCGCCAGCCTGCTTCCTGACTCACCGCGTAATCCCTCCACCATTCTCACCCTTTGGCCTCACCACAGGGGCAACTGTTGGGCTTGGTTAATCCTGGCCTGAAAATCTCCAAGCCCACAAGTCCAAATGAACCTGTTTTTATAAACAGCTTCTCTCAGGTATTTGTTAAAGTGATGACAAGCTGCCTAAGGGAGAAACCAAGACAATTAAATGGGGGAAAGGACAGTGTTTACGACAAACAGTGCCAGGATACTGGATAGCCACATTCACATGCCTGAAGCCAGCTCTCTACCTCACTTCAAATCCCAGAATCAGGTCATATGGCTCAAAGACCCGACTGCGTAAGCTGAAAGCACGGGACACTTAGGAGCAAGAACAAGGCAGAAACGAGCATTTCTGATCATCCAGGAGCTTACTGACTTTCATTTACTTGAAGACTTCTACCTTTCAGAGAGCGAGAGAGAATCTTCCACCTGCTGCTTTGTTCCCCAGATGCCTGCAACAGACAGGGCTGGGCCAGGCTGAAGTCAGCAGTCTAGAACTTAAACCACATCTCTACGTGGGTGAGGAGGCCCAAGCCATGAAGTCACAGTCTGCTGCTTAGGATACATCAGCAGGAACCTGGAACTGGGAGCAGAGCTGGGAGACAAGCAGGGGTGTTCCTAACCAATGCATCATTCATCATCTGTAAAGTTTGCATTTTAAAAGGGTATCATGATATGTTTTATCTAAAAAAGAAGTAAATAAATTAATTAATTAAAAAGAAATTGAGTGTCAGAGGTAAGTAATAAACTTCCTGGCATAGAATGTTAGAAATGTCTTTATTATTTATTCGTATTAAGCACCAGCTTAATACTGCAGAAGATTCCAAATGACCCTTTGACAATTCCCGCCCCAAGCCCTTCTTGATCAAGCATTTCTCAAGTAAAGACATGCTCTCTGCTGTTTTCTGCATAAAACATAACGTGGTCAAGGCCAAGGACTGCGTACATCTCGCTGTACAATGTGGCCCGCAGCTCTGTAGACGGCGGCTGCCCAGGCTTCCGTCACTGCCCAGGTCCTGAGAGACTCTTGTTCATGAACTGTCTCTTCACAAAGCAAGTCCACCACTACCAAGAGGGGACAGGAGAGTCAGATGACGATGCAACGGCAGGGCAAAGTTCATCTCACAATCAAATTTACTACTAGTCTGGCATTTCTTACGTTATAAACTCCTCCTTCAAGAGATGTATAAACAGTTCTTCTAGACTCACAGATCACTCAAATTCTGACCAAGTACAAATCCAAGTGATTGAAACTATTTGGGGAAACAACCCGTGCCTGACTGAACATGCAGACTTTTTAAACTGTCACTATTCCTAGAATCACGTCACAACTACCTAGACAGCATTCACCTTGCACTAGGTAATGCAAGTGATTGAGTGTATGGCAGGATGTATGTGAGTGACAGAAACACCACGCCACTTTATACAAGGGCCTTGAGCTAGGCAGACCTGGGTACCACAGGCACTCCTGGGACCAATCGGATAGACATCTACACAGGAAGGATACCTCACACAAAATATTTCTTCTATGGGGTCATGATGCCCTGACATGAGAATATACAGTGACAATGTTCTTATCATGTGCAATTCACCACCCAGCGGGTCGCAGTGAGCTACGGGTCACCAGGCAGATACTCAAAAGGCCAGCCACACTGCAATGCAGTTACCAAGGATTCTTGCTATGGGAGACCTGACATCTGACTCACCAACTGGAAGAGTCTTACCTTGCTGGGCTTATCATTCTGAGGGTCAAACACCTTCTCACAAAGTCGCAGCCCAGTCTCCTGCCTCAGCTGCTGCAAGTAGGCTCGCATCACCTCTGCAAGAGAGCAAGTGCAAAGCTGCCCAGGCAGCACAGCCCCAGCCCAAGCCTGCATGCTGACCTCGGTGCACGCATCTGAATAGGGAGGACAAAACCACAAGAGTCCGCAGGGTTCTAGAACTACATTCGATTTAGCTCAGGAGATTGTCTGCAGAACACACTTGCTGCCCAGAGTCGTTAGTGAACATGCCTAGCCCAGTAACGCATTTCCCACTGAGTCCACCCTCACAGCCAGAAAGAGCAAGGGGACAGGGAGCCACAGGGGAGCACCGGCTGGGACTGTGGGGAGGGCAAACACCCTCTTCTTACCATCTTCCTGCTTGTTCGCAGGTTTGGCATAAATTGCATTCAGTGGAAATCCTGGCTCTCCAGGAATGGGAAAATTTGTGATTCCCAGTGTATACATTTCTTTTTCGCCTTGGCTTTTAGAATTGCACTGAAATTAAAAAAAAAACAAGACATATATTTTACAGGGAAAGGGGCAGTAACATTCACACTGCTGCTCCAAGTCACAGCATGTTCTCCGTGTGCTTTACCAGCCTGGCAGACCGCATGTGCCTTCTCAGAAAAAAGTTCCAAACACAACCGAGAGAATGACAAGAGACCAGTTACAGTAACACACAAGAAACAGAATTTTAAAGTCAAATTTAGGACATGGTCTCAAATGTGTTTTTGTTAAACTGCAAACTAAATTTTGAAGTAGTGAGGAGTGTAAACAAAAATTTTAAATGCCTTTAATATGAAAACAGCAGGGGTTAGGTAGGAGACAAAGTCTCAGGTTTCCAGGTACCATTGTGGGCTGCTGCTGACACAACGGAAGGAAATGCTACATTCAGTTAAGGTTAATGGAAAGAAAAATAGCAATTTTTTCCCATTCAAGTTTATGGATTTCTGAAATCTATCCTGTGACCCCCAGATTAAGAAAACCCGAGAAAGGGTCTTAATCGGAATTTGTCAAGATTTATGCCTTCAAAGAACATACGTGGAAAGTTTTAATACACCACTACCCTTATCTTCATGTCAGTTCATTACACCATGAAATCAGAGAACCAGATTCGGATATGCCTCTAACATTCATGCTCCAAGTCTGAGGAGATATTTTCTCCTTGTCCTTGGAGTTCTAACACATAAGAGTGGCTGGAAGGGTAATGTTGGTGGTTTGTTTCCCTGTAAGTCACGCACGCTTCATTACCTTTTGGAGTTTCTTCAGACACTCAGAGATGTAGAGAGTTATATATATCAGGGTCCTATCAGCTTCATTCTAAGAGAGAAAAAGAAAACAGTGTTCATGAGGCAGAACAATTCTGTGCAGGGAAGGAAGCCAAGCTTTGTCCTCTGACTGGAGCAAGCACAGTGCACACAAGCCCCTTGCAGGACAGCTTCTCCCGGTTCTGCAACTCCGGGTGAGCGTGTGTGTGTGGAGGGGTACCAGGTCCACCCTGAGCTACACAGAGGCTCTTGTTATTCTCAGCTCCCCCATCACAGGTTCCAGCCCCTCACCCTTGCGTGGGAAGGAGAATTAACAAAGCTGTCTGGAAAACTTGAAGCGTACCATATGGCTGCCAATTTCTAAAAACCCTCTCATTTCAGGATCTCCGCCAAGAATAGAAACATTCATTACTCTGAAAGAGGAAGCAATTACTTGGCGGGTGACATGTTCTTGAAGGACGCCCTAAGCCCCGGGTCTTGACCTGAGCCAGAGGAGAATGTGGAGAAGGCCAACGGATGTTGATCAAATGTGGCGCAAGCATGAGATCACATTTCACACTTATTTATAGCTGAAAAACCAGAGATGAACCCACAGGTCTCCCTGCTTTTCGGACCAGGCAATCAAGTGCGCTAGCATCACACTTACACCCACTACCAACACAATACCGAGGCCACGCACTCAACAGAGAAAGCATTCTGCCATAGCACAGTTCGCTGGGATTACCACTCAGAGACCAAGAGTCCACAGAGATCTTACATCCTGTTTGATGCCGAAAGCTCACACGCTGGCAAGGAGATGGTGAAGTTCATCCCATGTTTTCGAATCTTACCAGGAATGCTCCCCTGGTAACTTGGTCAGACAGGAGCTCAGAAAACCTGCCTCGTGTCCGCTCTCCTCTCTCTCGCCCTCCCTCCTGCCTTCCTAGTCACCGCCCTTGCGGGATCACAGGACTATAGGAGGCAGGGAAGGGAGGGACCAGGATCAGTTTTAAAAATTTCTCCAGCTCAGGTGCAGCACGTAGAAGTCAACTAACAAAATGTCAGCAGGCAGGATTTTCTGGGTCTGAACTAGTGCTACCCACCACCACGGCTGGCACACGGAAGGTGCTGAGTTATCACAAAGATAAATAATGATAGACCTAAACCAGGATTGCCCAATTTGCCCTATAATGGGCCAGAGACTGAATATTGTAGGTTTTGTGGGCCAGGCTGGATTTTAATAAAATTTAATTTACAGAAAGAGATCATGGGCCAGATGTGGTTGTCAGGTTCCAGCATGCCAGCCCCTGGTATAAATGGTGGAGGAAAAAGAGAGAAACCAGCATCTTCGAGTCCAACGCCAGGGACTCTTCTAGAATAGGAATGGCAATTGCATTTTATGTTTTCCTTCACAGCAACTCTCAACAGAAAACTTAAGCTCAAATATTAAAAACTCCGTTATTTACCTTAATTTCATAGTTTTTGAAGAAGACATTGGCTTTGAAGTAATAGATCGCTTCATCCACAATATCTGTATCTTTTGCTAAGCAGAACACAAGGAAAGAAAAGTTAGTCAGATGTAAACCATAAAATCCAGAAAAACCATAAACACAACAAAACTTAGGGGCTGCCAAGTTGAACGCCTTGAACGCGCTGGGATCCCATATGGGTGCCGGTGCTAATCCCAGTAGCTCCACTTCCCATCCAGCTCCCTGCCTGTGGCCTGGGAAAGCAGTCGAGGACGGCCCAAAGCCTTGGGACTCTGCACTCGTGTGGGAGACCCGGAAGAAGTTCCTGGATCCTGGCTTCGGACTGGCATAGCATGGGCCGTTGCGCTCACTTAGGGAGTGAATCATTGGATGGAAGATCTTCCTCTCTGTCTCTCCTCTCTGTGTATCTGACTTTCCAATAAAAATAAATAAATCTTTAAAAGAAAATTATTTCATTTATCTGAAAGGTAGAGATAAGGAAAGATAGAGGATGAGACAGTAAGAGAGATCCACCAACTGCTGGACAGGGCTGGCCTGAAGCCAGGAGCCTGGAACTTCTTTGTCTCCCGTATGGATGCAGGAGTCAAAGCACTTGGGCCACTTCCGCTGCTTCCTCAGGCTTGTAAACACAGAGCTGGGGCAGAAGTGGAACAGCCAGGACTCAAACCAGTGTTGCAAACTGTGGCTTAACCTGCTATGCAACACCAGGCCCAGGCAAAACACTTTAAAAATATCCAGTGTGATTGGTTTCAGTTTATATTCTGTTACTTCAAGGAAAAACTCTCCTTTCTTCCTGTTCTGGGTGGCTAGAACCCAAGAAAAGCCAGAAATACCGCTGTGACAAGGACAACTCTTGTTACACAACCTCCTTGGCAGTTTATTTTCCCAGGTCAAAGCATCGGGTCCTTGATGTCCGGCAGCTGGCTGCAGCACATCTGTGGCAGGGATTGACCCTCCTGGCCCTGCCTGTGACCGCCAAGCCTCACCTGACAGCAAGCCATGGCCGCTCATACGTTCATCCTCAGGTAGCTCCTGGCTCTTGCCCAGGGCTCTCAGCGGGATCCCAACTAGAGTGCCCTGCAATCTAGCACCTTCTCTGGGAGAAGGAATCCTCTTCCCAAGGATTCCCCAGGGTTTATAAACCCAGTTAGTTTTTTTAATGCAGTGAGATGCTGGACGTGGAACCCCGAAGAGGCCTGCCAGGGGCACCATCTACTGACTCTAAATGCATCAATCCTTGGGAAAGCAGCTGAGGGCTGCTCCTCAGCTACAGAATCCGCAAGGAGCCGGCTGCTGAGGGTCTTATCCTCCTTCAGGGACCAAGAATGGCATCAGGACTACTTTGCCCACAGGGAAGGTATGTGGGACGCCTGCGTCACATAGGCAACTGCCTCATTCAAATCCTGGCTAGGCTCTCCATACACTTCCTGCGGAAGTGCATGCTGCTGCAGGCATGCAGGGAGGGTCCAGTGGCTGGGAGCTGTCCCTCTGTCCTTCAAACACAGGAAGTTATTAACAAACGCTTTCACAACCAGACTGCTTCCACCCTTGGTTGGGGATTCTGACCTGTTAGATGGTATAACCATCTCAAAGGGTGTCTACCCTCGCAGTCTGGGCTAACCCTGGTTATTAGCAGGCTTTCTTCGCACTACAATCCTTTCACGATACATCTGCTTTTCCATGCCTTGTCTGTTTCCATTTGTTCCTTTTTCTCAGAATCAACTGAAGACTGCACTTATTCACCAGATTTATTAAGTTCACGGAGCTTTAAACTGGCGCTGCAAGCAAGATTAAATTAGGAAGAGGACAAGCCAAAAGGTCTGGCAGAAAGACCAAGAGGAGGATTAGTTCAAAAGTCCGTCATTGTAACCGTGGCCTTGGAAACCATGAGCAGAACTCGGCTCAGCCCCTTGCTGCTGCAGAAGAACCATGTTCCATGTCAAACAAATCCCAGCGCTGGCAGGACAGCCCAGAATGTGTCAGGATGCGGCTTTCTGAACAGGGAGAAATGTTTCAAGAGGCGAGTTACAGGAAACAAAATTCAGGACAGAGAAAGCATGAGTCTCGTTACACAGTACTCTCCCCACTGAGGCACTGCCAGAAATGAAGCAAGATGCTGAGGAATGGAGGAAGCGGAAGAGATTAAGTTTTTTGGTTTTTTTGTGGGTTGCTTTCTCCAACTTGATGAGAAGGAAAGCAGGTGGCTATGACATCCTCCGAAGGCAGCAGCATTACGGGAATCTGAAAGCACTGACAGTGTTACAGGGCCGGTGCTGCTGTGCTGCACACTAACCCTCCACCTGAGGCACTGGCACCTCATTACGGGAGCCGGTTCATGTCCTGCTTGCTGCACTGCTGACCCAGCTCCTTGCTTGTGGCCTGGGAAAACAGTAGAAGATGGCCCAAGTCCCTGGAACCTTGTACTCGTGTCGGAAGCCTGAGAGAACTGCCTGGCTCTTGGCTTTGGATCGGCTCAGCTCCAGCCATTACGGCCATTTGAGGAGTGAACCAGCGGATGGAAGAGCTTTCTCTCTGTAACTCTGCCATTCAAATAAAAAATTTTAAAAATCTTAAAAGAAAAAAGAACTGAGTGCTAATTAGGGACCACGTTCTGAACTGAGCTGGAGAAGGTAGAGGCAAATGATTCGGTTTCTTCCTAAATGCAGCACACAATCACAATCTTTATTTCTAATGTTATTTTTTTCCAGAAGTTAGCCTTCACCCACTTGGTTATGAGGACAACACCTACCTTACTGAATTGTAGACAGGTCACACCCAGAACACACAAGTCCTTATAGAAGAGCCAAGGTGGGCTGTGTGCTCCCAGTGTGTCCCAGGGTTCCAGAGCGGATCCTACGATCGTGTCGTCCCGCACCTTGCACTCTGTGATGTATCCCAAGACATTGCCCCACGCCAGGACAGACAGAGCCCACGGCCACTTCTCAAGGCTATTTCATGCCAAGCCTCGTGGATATGCCATGGCTCAGTCAATGCCCTAGATGTGTGTGTTTGCTCTGCATTTGCCCATGATTGCATTTGAGTTGTTCTATCAAAAAAAATAAAAGTAAAAATCCAACCGCTCTGACTAGATTACTACATAACTGAGGGAGCCATAATCTTTATAGACGCAGGACACAACATCCACCAGCAAGCACAAAACACAGGCATCAACTTGGACGAGTCCCTGGGCTGTAACCGTTTCACATCAGAATGGGACAACAGTGGGTTTGGACTTACTCTCTCTGGGGGCAGGTCCTTTGAACTGACTTCTGATGGGTAACAGCGCCATGTTTCCGATGAGCTTGGTGTCCGGATCCATGAGAGAAGAGTGGTAAGCCTGGGGTAGCCCAGTGAGAATACGGAAGAGAAGAGAGCACGTTACGGGCCACCAGAGAAAAAGAAAAGAGCCATCCACCCATGATTAACTAGGGCAGGGAGGGTGAGGGGCCCTTGCTGTGGCACAGTTGGTTAAGCCATGACATGCAGCACCGGCATGCCCTGTGGGTGCCAGCTGGGGTCCCTGCTACTACTCCTGGGACAGCAGCAAGAAGACGGCCCAAGCCTTTGGGGACCCTATGTCCACGGGGGAGATCCAGATGGAATTTCAGGTTCCTGAATTTTGCCGTTTGGTCATTTGGGGAGTGTCAACCTCTGTCTCTCCCCCTCTAACACATGAATCTTCAACAACTTAACTGTCTAAATGTACAATCACACAAGTGGTTAAAAACAAGGGGCTTAAGCTCTCATCACTTCCTAATTTTCAAATTACATTTACCATTGTCTGTGATCTTAAGGTCCTTTAAGTTTTTTTTTTTTATCTTTCTTGTAGAAATGCACACTATATACCAAGTTCCTTCACTTCCTGTTCCATGTTTACAGATCTCATGCTGGTGGCTGCTTTGGAGGTATTTCCACAACAGAACAGGCAAACTCCATATGAATAAGTAAAGGCACTCCCCCAGCCCACAACTCTATTTAAACCAGAGCCCAAGCACTACTTTTTTGGGTCTGGCTCCCTATTTCTGTTTTAAGATTCATTTATCTTTATTGGAAAGGCAGATTTACAGAGGGAAGGAGAGACAAAGATCTTCTATCTGCTGGCTCACTCCCCAAGTGGCCACAACGGCTAGGGCTAGACTGATCCGAAGCCAGGAGCCAGGAGCTTCTTCCAGATCTCCCATATGGGTGCAGGGTCCCAAGGATTTGGGCCGTCCTTGACTGCTTTCCCAGGCCACAGGCAGGGAGCTGGGTGGGAAGTGGAGCAGCCGGGACATGAACCGGTACCCACACGGGATGCTGGCGCTTGAAGGGGGAGGACTGATAAGCCAATACAGCCGTGGTGCCCAAGCTGTCTATCTTTATAAAACAAGATCTACGCTGCTTTCAGTGGGTGAGTTACTTGGAGGGGGCATGTGAGCGAATACACGACTTTTCTGAGAACAATCTCTATGCGGACTGGTGGCTCGGCTTGTCACAAGATGTGTGGCTGTTGATGAGACCACACGGGCTCCCAACATATATTCATTCAACAGACGACTACAGGGGAAAGGTGATGCGGCTGACACTTAAGACCACAGTTCCTGGGCTGCTGGACAGACATAAGGACCAAGCACAGGGTCAGCCCCAGGTGGGCGTGTGACCCACAAGTGGAACTAGCAGAGGGCTCTCGGGTTCCGGCTTAACGCGTGGCCACAAGTTTCTTTTGAGACTTAGTTTCCTCTACTACGAACAGGAGCACGGATGGTATGCGCCTTGCGGGGAGCGCCACCCTGACCAGGACGCAAGTGCACAGTGTCCAGTGTGTAGCCCAGGGCCTGCCCGGCAGTCCTCAGGGTATTTGTGGGATGCGGGAAGCCCCGTGTGCCCCCCAGCCTTGCCCCTGCGTCAGCAGCTGTCTCCAGTCACCACCGCAAGGTACCTCCCGTCACGGAAGGGTGCAGGTTTACCACAAGGAGGGGCGCCCACCCGATCCCACGCACAGAAACGCGAGAACCACCAGGTCCGTCTGTCTCCACATCCACGCGGATGTTCACGAGATGGAAACATCTGGAAGACCCCGGAAGTGGGGTTTGCGCTGACAAGCAGCAGGTGCCACCCGCCCCTGGGGCGGAGGAGGAAGTGGATCTGACAGGGTGGGTAGGGTGGGGTGAAGGGTGAGGAAAGAAAAGGAGAAGCTGGCCCAGAGAAAAAAGAACAACATCTGTCCCAGACCAGGAGGCTGTTGAGGGTCTCCGGGGACCCTGCCTGGAACCGGGGGGCCGAGGGCGCGTGGAGGGCTGCGGCGGCCTCCTCCCGCGCCGCGGGGCTGCCGGCTCACGCATGCCATGGCCTCGGACCCCCAGGACGGTATCTCCAGGACGGCATTCCCAGGACGGTACCCCCGGGACGGCATTCCCAGGACGGCGCCCCGCGGGACGGTGCCCCCCCCAGGCTGCCCCGGGCCCACAGGGTCCAGCCCCCGCCCCTGCCTCTCCTCCAGTCAGGCCGCCATTCCCGTCTGCCCTCCTGGGCCTGCATCTCTCGAACACCTACCGGCATCTTGGCAGCTCCCGAGTTTCCACCCACAGGCGCAGCTTTGGGAGGGAGCGCGGTGCTTCCGCTCTGGGGGCCCCGGGCGCGGTAGGCGGAAGCGAACCGGAAGAGGAGGGCCACGGGAGGATGCGGAACTTCCGGCTCCGACGTTCCTCCACCGGCTGCGCGTTCCCGGAGAGGCGCCAGGGGGAGCCCGAGCACCAGGCGCGGGCTCTGCGTGTCGCGCATGCGTGTTTGTGGGCAAAAGGCACTGGGTCTGTTGTATGTGGTTCCTTGGTTAGATCTTAAAAATCATCCTTGGGCATACATGAACCCATCCTGAATTCCTGCCTCATCCTGCTCGCTCGCGCTTCCCTGAGTGGGAGGAATTTTGTCCGTTTGTTTCATTGCTGTATGTGCCCTACACGGTAAACCTTAATATCTGAGTGAATGCACTAAGTCAGCAGGGAAGCAGTGGAGTGGCTACGAAACAGTTCCAGCATTCTCCGCCTCAGTTCCCTCGCCTGACAGTGGAAGCTTTGGGCGGATGCAAGGGACCGTCTGGAAAGTGCTCAGAAGTTGCATGAATTTGTTTTTATTAGAAAGGCAGGTTTTACACATTTGACAGAGCTTCCATCCGCTGGTTCGCTCCCCAAGTGGCTGCAACAGCCGATGTGGAGTGATTGGAATGTTCCATCTTGGACTCGGCGCCACTTCTTCCTTCTCCTTTCCCACAGCTCAAGAAAGTCACGCCGTTCCGGTTGTCCAGCAATGAGATGTAACCTCATGGCCTCCTGCCTGAGAATGCCACCCCTCCACATCTCTCACCGCCCCTCCCAGCCAACTCCCCATGCCCCCACGCCTTGCAGGCTCATCTGTCATATAAATGAGCCTCCCACGTGTGCCCCTGCCCTTCTCTTCCAGCCCTCCCTCATCCTCCATCTTGCCCCCTTCCCCTGCCCTGGCAGCCCCCCATCCTGCCACCATGGCAGGAGACATGTACCTTCTACTTTTCTCCTCCTCCACCCGAATGCAGTTCCTACCCCGCTGGAAGAAAGGAACTCCTAAGACCTCATGCTGCCTAGTCTATTTTGGCTCACCATAAACTAATCTTGAAAAGTCAGCTTTGCTGCAGGTCTCACACTGTGGCATCTCAGCACATGGAGTACACCCTGTGTACACTGCGTGGTTTACCCCAGGGACCAGCTGGCACACAACAGCCCACATATTTGCAGTCAGTGGTTTGCACAGCCAGAGTCAGCTTGGTGTACCAAGGGTTAGGCGGAGGACCCTGGCTCTCCACTGGTGCCCCCAGCACACACCAGGCTGAGCCTGGGGGCAGCAGGAGTCTGCCTCCTCCGTCCCCCTCCCACGTGGATCCAGGGGGAAGGGCCTTGAGCACAGGCAGCTGGGAGGGAGGAAACTGGAGCAAGCAGGGAGCCGTCAGCAGACCTTAACTTCCCTTCTCCAGGACTGTGCAGTTTAAGCTGGGCCACAGGAGGGACATTAGTGACCTTGGGGGACAAGGGTGTTTTTACCCCTTCTCGGGGCCACAGGAGAGCCACCAAACAGCGCAGCACATGCCTTTGCTGGTAGTTCGTGGTTCTTGCCCCACTGGCTTTGTTAGATTAGCTCCTGTCACCCAACCACACAGCACAAAGCTGACCTCCCCCAGCCAAGGCCCTAAGGTGCAAGCGACCACTGACACCTACAGTGCCTCATGCTGGTCACTAAAGTCCTCACCTTGCATGTGCCGGGATCCCATATGGGCACCACTTCCCTTTCAGTTCTCTGCCTGTGGCCTGGGAAAGTAGTTGAGGACAGCCTAAGGCCTTGGAACCCTGCACCTTTATTGGAGACCTGGAAGAGGCTCCTGGCTTCGGATTAGCTCAGTTCTGGCTATTGCAGACACTTGGGGAGTAAGGAGGCAGATAAAGGATCTTTCTGTCTCTCATTCTCTTTGTAAATCTGATTTTTAAAGATTTATTTTATTTTTATTGGAAAGGTGGATATACAGAGAAGAGAGACAGAGAGGAAGATCTTCCGTCCGATGATTCACTCCCCAAGTGAGCGCAACGGCTGATGCTGTGCCGATCCAGAGCCAGAAGTCAGGAACTTCTTCCAGGTATCCCACACGGGTGCAGGGTCCCAAGGCTTTGGGCCGTCCTCGACTGCTTTCCCAGGCCACAGGCAGGGAGCTGGATGGGAAGTGGAGCTGCCGGGATTAGCACCGGCGCCATATGGGATCCTGGCGCATTCAAGGCGAGGACTTTAGCCACTAGGCCACACCACCAGGCTGCCAGACCAACTTCTACCACAGCAACTTGGATGACCTGGACCATCTCTGTGGATCCCACACCTCCAGGGGCCCCTTTACCCAAACAACGTCCTGTTTCAGCAGGAAGCAGCCAGAAGACATTGTTGCCCTTTACCCCTGCAGAAGTAGGTTGTGGGATTTTAACAGGGGGTCTGAGACCCTCCAGGCCTGCTGAGGTCTTGGCCACACCTTCAGGTGGGTGACACATGCATTGCCCTCCCACTTCCTAACTGAGTAAGAAGCCACCAATGCGGAACATCTTACCTTAGGTTCCCTGCCCAACAAGGAGGGGTCAGAGAATGCTTAAAATCCCAAGACCCTTCCTCAAACCCTTGGGGTCTCTCCCCTTCCACTTTCGAAGCACCCCAACTCCCGGCTTTCTCTCCAGAGGGGCTTTTCCCCTCCCTCTCCCTTCCCTGCTCACCTGGTCCCTAAACAAATAAACTTTGCTGTCTAAAAAAAAATTGTACCTAAATTATGGGTTTTCTAATTTCTGAAAGGTTTGTCACCAAATGGTCAGCAGGACATGAGTCTGTTAAGAGGAATAAATGAAGAGATTTTGTAAAATGATGCTTGGCACAAAGTTTGGCATCACTTGATAAACGAGACTTGGCGTGCTTCTGCAGGGCCTGGCCTGTGGCTGTGCTGGAGAACGGCCTGTGGGCCCAGGAGCGCTCTCAGGGCCTTGCCTGCACAGGCAACACATGAGCTTGCAAATGCTGAAAGCAAGCAATTCAATGTGGCAAGAAAACTATGCTTCTTTTACACTTCTGTGTGCCTGTATTAATTATACATCCAATCGATGTATAAACTGTTAAATGCTCACAGATCTACAAACAATTCTAAAAATCAACACTGCTTCCACTGTCACACCTGGGGGAATCCCTTCATCCAAAGCCTTGCCCTGGCTGCATATTTTGAATTCTGGCTGGAAAACAAGAGTAGAAAGAAAGGGTTAATGTCACCTTTCTGCTTCCTTTATACACATGCACGTACACAACTCAAAACCCAGTCACATGTGACTTTTTTAATTATAAGAAAGCACATTCTCAATATAAGAGACTGATGAAGATGAGCACTGGCCCATCTGCGTCCTTCCAGGTCCTTCCCTTTGAACATGCTCACATGCACTTTCCTCCAAGAATTTCTGGCCTTGACTGCATATAGGTGCCAATTTACATTGTATACAAATTATTGTTCACTTGACTTTCATGTATTAATTTATTAAAGATTTGTTTATTTGAAAGAGTTACAGAGACAAAAGGGGGTGGGGAAGGGAGGAAGAGTCACTTCACAAACAGTGACAACAGCTGGGCTAGCTCAGCTCAGAGCCAGGAGCCAGGACCTGCATCCAGGTCTCCCGCGGGGAGCACGGAGCTGAATCAGAAGCAGAGAAGCCAGGATTTGAACCAGTGCCCCTACAAGATGCCAGCAGCACAGGCAGTAGTTTAACCTACTGTACAATACTAGCCCCCATTTTTACTTTAAAAACCTAACTTGATTTTGAAAACCATTTGATTTTTAAAATCAACTGCTACTAAAAAATAAGAGATCCCACTTTCCACGAGCAGGTTTGGAACCTGATTCAGGTGTGCTGCTGTGTCATCATTTTCCATGAAAATACACCGCTTTCTCTGACCGTGTCCTTTGAGGGGAAGATCACGCCACCAATGTGACCACATGTCCTTCACACGATCCAGTTACGTTTTAGCAAACTCGTCACTCACTCTGCCGTTCTTGAAAATATTCATCAAACAAAGAGGCTGACTCCTCCTCATGTTCCTGACACAAAGGAGACACAAGAGAGAAAATGCAGTTGTTTCCCCTCAGCTGGAGCCAGAATTCGAACACAGATTTGCAGGTCATGCTGGGTGGGGGGCTCTCACTCCGTGGCCGCTCCAGGGAGGCTCCCTGGCAATCCCTGATGCTAAGAAAGGGCGTGTGCTATAGGACTCTTCCAGGTGTGTGCCGAGTCACGGTGCTCCCAGGGCCTAGGGCTCGTTTCTCTTTTGCACAGCCAGTCTCCATGATGGTATAGTGTGCCAGTGCCCACTGCCAACCTTGTTACCCCACTTCCCACTGACACATGTCAGGGCAGCCCATGTTCAAGCAGACCTCACCTTCTTCTGGTGCGCACCCCTAAATCCTCCAGGGCAGAGGGACCCAGCTAAGGAAGAGTACGACAGACACTGCCAGTCAAGCAGGGCGTCAGGAACACCCCAAAGCCCATGGGGCTGGCCGGCTGGCCAGGGAACAGCCCCAGAGGCCCAAGTGGCTGGCCGGCTGGCCACTCCTCTCCAGGGCCCAACTCCGTGGAAGCAGGAGCAGCCTGGGTCATGAGGCAGCCAGCTAACTGATAGATTCTTCTACCAAAAGCCCGTCCATGCCCCACATCAGGAATTACCTTAGGTTCTTTAAACTCCAGGTCCTCGCCGTACTGAATGGCAAAATCGATATGCTGCAACACGATGTTCATGCTCTCCTCATCTGACTGATCGTACGGTAAGAACCGCACCATGCTGTAGTCGTCTATCTGAGAGGAGATTTTAAGAAAAGTTCATCAGGCAGTGGAGCAAAATGTGCAATTTTCTTAATTTTTTAAAAGATTTACTTATTTTTATTGCAAAGTCAGATACACAGAGAGGAAGATCTTCCATCCACCGATTTATTCCTCAAGTCACTGCAATGGCCGGGGCTGAGCTGATCAGAAGCCAGGAGCTTCTTCCAGATCTCCCACATGGGTGCAGGGTCCCAAGGCTTTGGGCTGTCTTTGACTGGTTTCCCAGGCCACAAGCAGGGAGCTGGATGGGAACTGGGGCCAGTGGGATTAGAACTGGCTTCCATATGCGATCCTGGCTTGTGCAAGGCGAGGACTTTACCCACTAGGCTATCACACCGGGCCCTAAATACTGTTTTCTAAAGCCAAGTAAGAACCAGCATTTTACCCTGGACCCCAAACATACAATTTTCAACCTTCATCTGCTTTTTATAACTCTCACTACTTAAGGACTGCAATGTGTATGCCTGGGGAAACAAGGACTGACAGGCCAACACCCCAGCAAACCAAGGAGTCTCTGACCTCTGCACGCTGGAGCACTGGCTGGCTTCTTTAACTGAACATTTTTTCTTGTTGGGTTTTTATCTGAATTTAACAAGCACCAGATATTATGTAAGAGCACAAATAGTGGGCACAGTGTGATAGCTCAGTGGTTAAATCCTTGCTTTGCATGCACCAGGATCCTATATGGGCGCCAGTTCATTTCCTGGTTGCTCCACTTCCCATCCAGCTCCCTGCTTATGGCCTGGGAAGGCAGTCTAGCACAACCCAAAGCCTTGGCACCCTGCACTTGCATGGGGAACCCGGAAGAAGCTCCTGGCCCTGGTCGGTGCAGCTCAGCCACTGCAGCCACTTGGGGAGTGAACTAGCAGACAGGAGGATTTCCCTGTGTCTCCTTCTCTCTGTATATCTATCTTTCCAATAAAAAGATAAAAAGTCTTTTCTTTAAAAAGAAAGAAAAAAAAATAATTCTGGACTCTTCAAAATGCCTTGAAATTACAGACGTGTTAATTCATTGGTCTTTAGCAATACCTATGTCTTCCTCTCTAGTTTTTTAAACTTTTGAGAGACAGACATTAATAAAGAACAACTCCTATCTACTCACTCTAAATGTCCACAATAGTCAGGGTTGAGTCGGCTTAGAGCCAGGAGCCAGGAAGGCAATCTAGGTCTCCCAGGTGAGGGGCAGAGCTCCAGGCAGATGAGTCATCCCCCTTGGGTGACAGGACATGCTTTCAAACAAACAGAAGCCTTACCAGTCCACATATAGCATTAGTCAGTTTTTTGAATTTTTTGCTTCTTAAGCCACTTGTAGAATCTTCTAACAAAGAATACATGTCTGGATCTAGAAACCTTTAGAAATGAGAAAGTAAAAGTGGTGAATAAAAGATCACAAAAGTCAGGAAACTAAATTTTATAGACAGAACTGCAAATTCCAGCAAACCAGAAGGGGGCCGGGGGCCGGTGTTATGGGCCCCGCGCTCCCCACTTTGGAGTACCAGTTTCAGGCCCAACTGCTGCAGCCACGTGGTGCGTCAATCAGCAGATGGAAGCGCTTTTTGTCTTTCAAATAAGTCTTTCAATGAAAATAAGAAATAAAGTAGATGGTTCATCTTTGCCATGGAGATCTGATGAGAGCAGAAGAACGAACTCACTTCTCGATTTCCTTTTTAGCTTTCTTACTCAGCAGATCCATTTTTGTCATGATGTTAATCTGTGGAATTTCTAGAGAGATCATGGCACTCAGGGCTGCCAAGATGCCGGAAATAAACTGAAAGAGGAAGCAAAAAAAGGGAAGATACATCAACGAGTGTCAACATGGCCCTTAGGTCTCCACACAGAGAAGGCCTGCAACTAGTGAAAGAAATGCTAATATTAACCAAAAAAAAAAAAAAAAAAAGTGTCCTAGTCAGCTAGCTGACCCTTAGCTCCCAAGGTGAGGCTAGGGAGGGAACAGACTTAAGCTACAGTGATGAGAATCTCGGCAATATGCTTCTCATGTTCCTCAATGACTGTTACTGACAAATGAAATTCTATACAAGTTCTCCATAAACTAGACAGAGCCTCTAAAATTAATAAGAGACTCTTTCATAAAACACTTCAATGCCTCAACTTTTTCTTGGTAAGCAGTTTCTCGAAATCTCCACGATGGGGCTGGTGTTGTGGTGTAGTGGGTTGAGCCGCCACCTGCAGCACCGGCAAACCACCTAGGCCCTGGTTCACTAGGCTGCTGGACTTCTGATCCCGCTCCCTGCTAATGAGCCTGGGAAAGCAGCAGAACATGACCCAAGAGCTTGGGCCCCTCTCACCCACATGGAAAGCCAGAAGAAGCTCCGGGCTCCTGGCTTTGGCCTGGCCCAGCCCCAGTCGGTAGGGTCATTTGGGGAGTGAACCATCAAATAGAAGATCTGTGTCTCTCTTCCTCTCTGTAATCTTGCCTTTCAAATAATTATATTAAAAACAAACAAAAAACCTTTATAATGGACTCTTCTGGATTAAAAGGAAATTATTGAAATTTGATAATTAAGAATGCTAAATTCACATTGTGAAAAGTTCAGAATCACTCAACAATTAAAGGACACTTATTTGCTCATAATCACGATTGAGAAATCTGTAACAGATGAATCCTCAGACCTTGAACGACTCCACCATGAACTGCGAATCAACAAGGAAAACTCCACAGACGCGGAATTCCCACTGCTCGAGCTGCTGGACCAGCTGCTTCATCACCGGCAGGTGAGTGTACAACTCAATCTGACCTACACAGGAATGGCCGCGAGTTACCAATGGGGGGGGTGGAGGTGGGGGGCCGCATCCCTCCATCAGACAGAACGAACGCCCCACGGTGGATTCAAAGGAAGTCAGCCTGTGGCAATGATACACGCATGCATTTCTACAGGGATCACACGGCCCTCTAAGGGATCCGTAAACCTAAGCCAAGCAAACACTCAGTTCTATGAAGAAAACGTGGGTCTTCATGCATCATCCACAGTCCATCAGTAACGAGCACCGCCAAGGCGTGCACAGTTTAGAATATCCACCAACTTGCACACTTAGGATACATGCACTTTCTGAGCGATTACAAACAAGGGGTAAAAGTGATCAAACTCTAACTAAGGCCCAAGTCTAAAATTCCTCACTTGGGCCAAGAAGCTACAGTTGTCTCTGCATGTTCCTCTCTGCTCACCGAGCTCTAGCCACACAGAATCGCTCAGTGCTCTGTATGGACACTGAGGCCGCCAGCACACCTGAACTCCGCTCTGGGGTCTGTCCTGATCAGAGGACCTCCGCTAACTCCCCTGCGAGGACACCTGTCAGAAATGAATACAGTACACACGGCCACAGGAGCTTCCACACGCTTGCTCCTGTGAGCTTCTAGAAGACTCCTTGCTCTGTGGAACTTCCTGAGGACAACACAAGCACTCAGGAAACCCAGGAACTGTGTCACGCATCACAGCCAACAGCCTTCCGCTAATGCATACCCTGGGAAGCAGTGGGTGACAGCCCAGGTAACTGGGTCCCCGCCACCCACGTGGAGACCTGCACAGAGTTCCTAGGTGCCACCTTTGGCCTGGTCTACTCCCAGTCCCAGCGGTTGTGGGCAGGTGGGGAGTAAAGCAATGGGATGGCAGCTCTGGCTCTCTGAATCACAAATTGGTAAATAAAATTAAAATAAAGTCATTTTGCTGACTTACCTGGACAGTCAAAAAGGATGTAGTCATCCTCAACGTGGCCAAGGCAGTTCTCGAGCCAGTCAAAATTATTGGCAAAGTACTCCATGCAAAACACCAGGCCACCATTGGGACCGAACCGCAGACAGTCGTCCTCCATCACGTCGTCCACCTCAATCAGTTCCCGAATGTCTGCAGAAGACACAGGGCTCAGAGGGGCGCACGCCGCAGGAAGCTGACCTCCTCCAGGGACTTCAGGAAACAAATGCCAGGGGAAGATTGGCACACAGGACACTAACAAGCTGCTTCAGGTAGCAGTGCCCAGCAATCAGAAATTCAGCAACTACGTTACCCTACAGCCAGACCCTGAGACCCTATGCAGCCACAGAATGGGGAACCTCCCCGAGTGCTGACATGGCATAACCTTCCAAGAGAACCCCAAGGTGGACAAATGCCATCATCAATGTCAAAACCAAAACAACTGATGCTGAAGATGCTGACGGCACACATGTATCAGGGCTCAGATGCAGGCTGGCCTGAAACCAGCCACAACAGCTGCCCCTGGGGAGCCGGGAACAGGATGGGAGGAGGCAGTCACGTCTGCACACTTTTTAAATCATTTCAGTTTTTGAACCATATGCATTACCTTTTTCAAAACAAGTAAAAACAAAACAAAACAGAAACAAAAACAACAAAAAAACAGGGCCCGGAACAAAGGCTCAATTGGCTAATCCTCTCCTTGCAAGTGCCAGGAACTCATATGGGTACCAATTCATATCCCAGCTGCTCAATTTCCCATCCAGCTCCCTGCTCATGGCATGGGAAAGCAGTCGAGGATGGCCCAAAGCCTTGGGACCCTGAACCCACGTGGGAGACCCAGAAGAAGCTCCTGGCTCCTGGCTTCAGATCGGCTTACCTCTGGCCATTGCGGCCGCTTGGGGAGTGAATCATCAGACGGAAGATCTTCCTCTCTGTCTCTCCTCCCCTCTGTATATCTGACTTTCCAATAAAAATTAAGTAACTCTTAAAAAAATTTTGTGTTTAGCATTTGTTCCCTCAGACTTGTACTATTCATGGAAAACTGCACTTCCTCCACAGACACAGTGATACTGGTAAAATTAGGTCACCTTTGTTCACAAGCGGAACAGCTCTCTAGCCAGGAAAACAGAGAGGGTCTTCTGAAAGGATGAACCCAGCACATGGGTCAGTCCCTCCATCCCTCGGGCCAGAAACGAGGCCTGGGATGGAGGGGACCTTGCCGAACCTAGTGCATCCTGAAGCTGAGAAGGCTGGTCCTTTGGTAGGAGCCGTGAACAGCAAGCCGGCCTAGGTACCTGGCGGTATGGGCTTCCGGCACTGCAGGCAGAGGACTAGCCGCCACAGTGCTGCACAGGCTCCAGCATCAATCACTTCTCCCTTGCGACGTCTCCTGCTGGCTTTGGCAGATGCGCGTCTTCCCACCGCTGCGGCCCCCACCTTCTCCACCCGTTCTCTCATGAGCGCGTGACCCCAACGCTTGCTCTTGCATGCTCCTCTCCAACCACAGTCCCTGCAGCTTTCCATACTATCTCTATTCTGCCAATTCCAAATTTCTATTTCCGGGCTAAGCTCTGAATTCCAGATAACTGTACCTAGCTGCCTCTTAGATATTCAACAGGCTTCTCTAACTTAGCAAGTGCTGAGAGAACTACCCCCAAAAACAAAAACGAGCCTCTTTCCTTGATGAACATCACAGCACTCAAACCAGGAACCTGGGAGTCACTCTGGAGTTCTCACTCGTCTAGAATCAATCCTCCACAAAATGCTGTCAATTTCATTTGCAAAACAGAAACTCAACCTCTGCCGACCCCCACCACAGCGTCCCCCTGCAAGGCATCTGGCCAGCTGTCATGCCAGCCCCTGCGGCCCCTGCTTTTACCCCTGCCCCTTGAGACTCCAGTTTTTGCCCAAGAGTCTGAGCCATTTTTTCCCCCTAAGATTATTTACTTATTTGAAAGGCAGAGGAGACAGGGAGGGACTGAGATGTCCCACCCACTGGTTCACTCCCCAAGGGTGGCAACAGGCAGGACTGGGCCAGGCACAAGTGAAACCTGGAGCCTCTCCTGGCTCCCCCCAACAGTTGTGGGGCTCAAGCACCTGAGCCAACCTGTCGTGTACACGAGCAGCTGGGACCCGCCTGTGTGCCCATGTGGGGTGCTGGGATGACTAGCAGTGGTTTAACACGCTATGTTGTAACACCAACCCCGGGGCCATCTTCAGAAGCATAAATCAATGTCAGTCTCTTCTGCTTAAAATCCTCCAGGCAGTCCACTATTGATAGGATAAAATCCAAACTTTCCAAGTCCACCTGGCCTCGCCTCCTTCCTTCTCTGCCGCCCAGCTCCCTGCCATCTTGCTCATCTCCACAATCTCTCCTTGACCTGGACCAACCAGTCCTCACTGTGGCCCTTCCCCGAGAGCCCCTGCCTGTGCCATGACTCCTGAGGGACGTCTCCCAGGGCCTTCTTTGCAGCTCTGACATTTGCCCAGTACTCACCTGGGCCACTGAGACCCACCTGTCCGTCAGGATCTCTGCTGTGATCTGGACATCCGCAGTAACTCTGTGGTCCACCCACATCAGTACAGGCACACCAGGAGTCCCCCAGGCTGCACCCCAGCAGGACCACACAGATGTCCTATAGCATGTCCACTCCCAGGGGAGTTCTGACCTCAGGGTGCTGCTGATGGCCACAGAACCAGAGGCCTGAACCGCTGCGGTTCATTTCTCAGCATCCGTGGCTGAGGACCCCTCGCCTCACCACCCTGACGCTGACCCTCCCTGAAGGAGCGGCGAGAGGGGGCTTCTGCCCCAGGACTCACCGGCCATCACGGGGTAGCTGAAGTGTTCTGCTGCTGGGTCTAGGTTGACGACCTGCACGGACCGGTGCAGGGCTTCGCAGTGCTGAACCATGGTGGCACAGTAAGTGCTCTGTAATGTCACCGGGAGCGAGCGTTAGAGCCACAGGCGGTGCCAACACCAGCCCTACATCAACCAGGAGATGAGCCCGGCGCCATGGCTCAACAGGCTAGTCTTCCCCCTGCAAGCCTTGGGATCCCATATGGACGGCGGTCCGTATCCCGGCTGCTCCACTTCCCATCCAGCTCCCTGCTTGTGGCCTGGGAAAAGCATCGAGTACGGGGCCTTGAGACCATGCACCTGCGTGGGAGCCTGGACGAGACTCCAGCCGTTACGGCCACTCAATCCTCCTTCGGATGCGGACTGTGGATTCTAGAAACTCCACTGCTGTCCGCTGCACACGACCGCCCGACAGACCAGCGACCGGCGTGGACGGTCCGGGACCCTCACCACCCGCGGCGCCCACTCTGCGCCGCCGAATCTCACCTTCCCGCTGCCCGCGGGGCCCATGACGAGCTGCGCGTACCGCGGCATGTCGGCCGCCCAGGAGCCCGGCGTCGCCGAGTCGCACGGCGCGCTGCCAGCAGCGGCCTTCGCGCCACTTCCGGGAACACGAAGCGCGAGCCAATCGCAATCCCGGCTCGTGTGTGTGCTTCCTGGTTATAAAGCCACACCTCTGGCTACGGAGCGCCTCACGGGTCAAGTCCCGGGAAAAACGCGTCCTGAAGAAACACATAAGGGAGGAAAGGGAGGGACTCGCGCATGCGCAGAAGCAGTTGCGGAAGACGCCTGGTTACTATGGTGACGAAGGATCAAGACAAAGTTCAGCATCCCTGATGCTCGGCTTTCTTCGTTGACGTGGAGACCTCCCAAGACATGCCAGCATGCTGAGGGGCCTGGAGCCCTGAGGTGGAAGTCACGTGTGTTTCCTTCCACAGAGATGCAGCCGCCCCTCCTCCGCCCGGGCTGCAGGGTCGCTGCTCGGTCGTCTCTCCTCCTGCGAAGCCACTCACTAGTGTCCTGACGGCCTCGGAGAAGTGGGCTAGGCTCTATTTCAGTTTCTACTTGAAATTCTTTTGAGATTGCTTGAGCTTATGGCAATTCTGTTCATTTTCTACAGTAAACATAATTTTATATTCTCGCCAGTGATGCGTGACATCCTAGCCTACACACTGTGGTGATGGATATCCTAATAGGTGTGGAATGTTGTCTCCTTGTCTTTGGTTTGCATTTCCCTAATAGTGATACTGAGCATGTGAAAAAAAAAATTAAGAATCATTTGAGATGCAGAAAGATACAGAGAAACATCTTCCCAGATGCTCACTCCCCAAATGCCCATGAAGGCCAGGGAGGGACGTGGCCCTGAGCGCCTGGAAGTCGGTTCAGGAGCCCAGCCACCCGAGCTGTGACGCTGCCCCCCAGGGCTGCACCAGTGGGAAGCGGGAGTCAGCAGCTGCGCTGAGCATGCTCCTTCACAATCTGTCCTTGAAGACATGGCTGTGCAGGTTTTTTGCCCAGTTTTTGGATTGGGTTGTTACTAAATTTACTTTATTTTTAAACTGTTTTTTTTTTAATTGGACAGACATATATTTTAGGTATTTGTATGCTTTAAAACCAAATGGAAGATCATATGCTGTCTTCAAATATAATCAGCTGGTATAAAATTCAGGATAATACACCTGTAAATATGTGGATCTTACCAAATATACTTGTGAACTGTGCTTTGCCTCTGAAAATTCACATGATGTCCTTGGCCCACAGATAAAATCATCGAAGACAGACACAAAGTGAACTGTCACACATCCAAGATGCAGGGCTTATGGGAAACTCCGCAAATCCAAACAATACGCATTCCTAAACTGGTGCCAGATCCATCCACTCTGATGGTATGTTGAAAAGGGGATTCATCACGTGTCATTATTCTTTATCATCAGAGATGAACTTTAATTGAAGACAAGCTGTTGAGATGGTAAGACACTGCAGATTACACAATATACTCAGCGTTTTGCCTCAGACTCCGTGTCTGGAGGGTGAGTTCAAACATGAATGTTAGGATTACAGAGTCCCCTGTCTTAAGCGTTCTTTCAGGGCTTTGTACTTCAGACCTAACGTATCTTTCTTCAGGAAATTTAATGCCCCAACCACAAAGTTGCTCACTCAAGGAAAACTTCATACTGGAGAAGGAAACTCAACCTCTTAAAGAACTACAACATTAGAAGAAAATAGGTGAAGAAGATGCCAAAAAGGATTTTATAATTGTCGAGCTGCAGCACTCATTGAAGATCAGAGTCACCACATTCTCTCTAGCGCAAAACAGATTTTTACCTTTCTGCACTCTGGTTCATTTTTCTGAGTACCATTTTGGTTTTCTGGATTTAGGGTGAACACAGTGAAGTAAGGGGTGTGTGTGTTCAGAGGAGTCATGCATCTCAACTGAGCATGAGCTTCTAGCAAGCACAATCAGCTTCTTAGTCAACACACCGGGTCAGAGACCAACCTACTTTCCCTTCGGTCCATCCAACCTTTACTCTTGTTGGTACAGGCCAGGACTGGCATTTCACTGGACACACAATAACTGCCGCAAACTAAAACAACTTGCTGGCAGAGTGCTTGCTTGCTAAACTTCCTTGCTAAACCTCACAGGACATTTGAATGCCTTGGCCGGAATCGCAAGCAGAATCCCTTGCAACGTGTAAACAGGCATCCCTGTGCCCCCTGACCCCTATCCCAGACCCCTCATCCTCACTTTGACAACATTACATAGTTGAATTTGTTTAAATACAGATGGCATAAGTCCAACGAACACTCACCCTTTCAGCCCAGGAATAATGCCAACCTCTGGCCTACAACACGTACTGTTTACGCTCTTATTCTGCCTTTCAGCATGTGGACTTCACCATAGGTCAGAAGCATTATTTGTGCAGTGTCACCAAGACCTGTAATGCCCACTACCTGAAGATGCTAATGTCCCCGCCACTCAGCGCAGCTCACAGAAGCCAGGCAGGTGCACCTCCAGCTGGCTCCTCCCCTTCCTCCAGAGAGGGGCTCCTCACAAGAACCGCCTCAGCTTGCGCTACTCGCAGAAGCAGCATTACCCCTGCACTACATGGCGGCACCAGATGGACAGACGCGAATCCAGGAGCATTGCAACAGCAGCCACACCTGCAGTAATCAGACTGCACTCTTTCTGGCAACCGGTGGGAAACAAGGGGTCTGGCTCTTCAGACGGATCGGCATGCATAGATCGGCTGTTGTGTACTTGGGAGTGAATCATCGGACCGGAAGAGTCTTCGTCTATGCTTGTCACACTCTCCTACTTGCTATATGCACAACCTTTCCAAATGAGAATTAAATTAAATAAAAGAAAAAAATCTTTAAAAAAATAAAAAAGAGGGAAATATACTCAATTTTGCTTGAAGAATGGTAAATGGGGTGAACGCTTATGCAACTGACAATGTTCACTTTGCTAAATTCAGAATAGGTAAGGCAAAAACTGAGTAAGAGAGCATTATCTTGCTTTGTCTTTTCTAAGCTGACTGGGATATGCCACTTCATTTAGAATATATTTTATAAAAACTACAATAATGCGTTCATCAGCTAGACACACAGACAACCCTTTTCAGTGACGCCCAACGAAAATTCAAAATAATGCAAATAATTCCAAAAGGAAAAACGCTGGCTTCTGTTCAGGAAATGCTATAGAAGAAGGAAATAAAGGACTACATTAAGAAAGTTCAGTGTTCAAATTTCACCATCATAGTTGGCTTTGCATTTGAGTTAACAAACCGTAGCATGTGGGGCTGACTGGGTATCCTTGGTGATGCTGGCTTCTGAAAAAGAACATGTGCAGTTTCGCATGTGCATTAGTAGCTGTTTGCTTGGCAGCTCCAGTTAAGGCACTTGCCTTTCTTACAGGTTAAAAACTGGATATGCATCTAAGAAAAGATGTAAGTCACTCAAGATTTTTAGAAGACCAAGCAAACTATTCATGCAACCAAGTAAATGTAGAATTTACAAAAGATAGATTTTTGGCGACCTTAAGCTTAAAAATACTAAACTAAATACAGTTTCATTTTCATTATTGAAGATATGAAACAATCTAGAACATGAGGTGGGCACTTGGCACTGTGGTCAAGACACTGCTTGGAATGCCTGCTTTCTGTCCTGGGGGGCCGGGGTTCAGGTCCCTGCTTCTGGCTGATAAGCGCCCAGAGATGCAGCAGGCAACAGCCTCCCAGTGGAGGAGTAAACATAAGCCAGCACTTACACAGGATGCTGGTGCTCACAGGTGGAGAATTAGCCAATTGAGCCACTGGGTGGAGGTCCTGGCACCCGGCTTTGGCCTGGCTCCAGTTTTACCCGCTCTTCCACAGGACAGGCCTGGATTCAAGGTTTTTCTGATTCTAAATAAACACATTCATGATGTCAAAGCCAGAGTTAACAGAGAATGACAACACATCTTTTATGAGATTGTGCCATTTGGAAATGGACAGAGTATTTTGTAAAGTGTCTAGCAATTTACCATGGATGGGTTGCTGCCACATGTACCATTTTGTCTGACATTCAGCAAAACTGTGGAAGCAAGTGAAGCAGGCAATATTAACAAAATTTTGCAGATGTTTGTCTTGGACAAACCCAGATTTAAAAAAAATAGCAAAATGATCTTTCCTGCTACGATCATTGCAAATAGGAAGACCAAATGGTTGAAGTGTCCCTCAGCACTGATTCAGTGAAAATGATCAAGTGAAAGCCAAATATTTCCTAGAAACCACGGCAGTGAGAAATGGATAGGAGAGAGGAAGTTGAGCTTTCTGAATCAATACCCCACTGCTGTATATCAGTTTTGCTGTAAATATGCCATGCCTAAGAGATGTGGGAAAAGGGAGCGGGGAGGGTGTATGGGTCCAGAGAAAACATGAAAACCCCAGGGGAAAGCTCCTATGGCCCCGAAGTGATGAGAAGCAATTAAAGGGAAATATTCTGAAGTTATCACTGACTAACTTCCCCCCCAACCAAGACTGTGGGGCCTAGTGAAGGAGAACTTGCTGTATGGTAACTTGGCTAGAATATTGGTAGCTTACTTTAAGAGTAAACATTTGAGAGAGATGGGAGATGACCAAAAATTTGTGAAAATTATAGGTTTTTTTTTTAAATGCTAATGGCTCTTTAATAAACTAAGTCATTTGAAAGATCATACTTAGAACTTTCCAAAAAAGGCAAAATATAAACTTACTTTTCTTTCAGCTTCTTCAAATGCTTTTGAACCATACCTGAATGTAGAAAAGGAGGATGAAGACTTACTAAATAAGTGCATGCAGTCAATGTCCATTGCAGAACAGGGAGAACATCTGATGTTCGCATGAGAGTGTGTGTTCAAACACCAACGGACAGCCAGACGGTGAGCCAGCGGTCGGGGGGTCCGTGCACTGTGCCCTCAGCACTGTGGACAGTATTCACCATTAAGTAACTGTGCTCATACAATTCCATGTGCAAATGACATCTGTGTGATAAAATTTGTGTATAATCTACGCCTGTATTTCTAGTTTGAAAAAATTAAATTGTTTTATCACTTAACATTGAATTATGTTCTTTCCATCTGATAAAAGCATTCTATTACTCCTTTTTGTTTCTGCTTACAAGTAACATTAGAATATGCCACAAGTATTTCCATCATCGGGATCAGGAAAACTCTGAAATAGCCACATACAGAATAGCATGTGATATAGATAACATCTGACCTGCAAAATAGGTACTCAATAAATATTTGCTACTTAAATACAACCTGAAAATGTAAATACAGATTTGCCGTATCTTTTGAAACTCATCAAACTCACACCTGGATTCTCAAACTAAATGAAGTTGGGAATAAATTGTGTTAATGACAGAATTTCTTTTTTCCTTTTGAAAGCCAGAGTTACAGAGAGAGATCTTCCATCTGCTAGTTTACTTCCCAAATGGCTTCAATGTACAGAGCTGCACTTGTACAAAGTTGGGAGCCGGGAGCTTCTTCTGGGTCTCATACATGGGTACAGGGACCCAAGCACTTGGGCCATCCTCTGCTGCTTTCCCAGACCATAAGCAGGGAGTTGGTTGAGAAGTGGAGCAGCCAGGACATGAATCAGTGCCCATATAGGACGCTGGCACAACAAGTGGAGGACTAACTGGCTATGCCTTTGCACTGCCCAATTACAGGATTTTTAACATCATATTCATTCTAGGGTACTCCCTACCAAGAGTGTTAAATACAGTAAAAAGTTTTGGGCCCAGTGTGGAACAGCAAGTCAAAACCACAGCTGTGGGCCCAGCACAATGGCACAATGGCTCAGTGGCTCAAATCCTCAGCTTGCAAACACCAGGATCCCATATGGACACTTGTACATATCCCAGCTGCTCCCTTTCCCATCCAGCTCCCTGCCTGTGCCCTGGGAAAGCAGTGAAGGACAGCCCAATGCTTTGGGACCCTGCATCCATGTAAAAGACCCGGAAGAGGTTCCGGGCTCCTGGTTTCGGACTGGCACAGCTCCAGCCGTTATGGCTGCATGGGGAGTGAATCATGGGAGTTAACCAGGGAGGATCTTTCTCTTTCTCTCTGTAAATCTGACTTTACAATAAAAATAAAGAAATCTTTCCAAAAAAAAAAATAAATAAAATAAACATTAAAAAGAGGGTCAGCATTGTGGTAAGGCACGTTCAGCTGGTCTGGCTCCACTTCTGCTTCAGCTCTCCACCAAGCGTGCCTGAAAACACTGGCTGATGGCCCAGGTGCTTGTCCCTTGTACCCACAGCGGACGCCCGGATGGAGCTGTGGACTGTTGGATTTTGCCTGGTCCAGACCTGGCTACTGTGGCCATTTGGGGAGTGAACTAGTGGATGGGAGATCTGTGTCTCAACTCTACCATTAAACAAAGAAAACAAATTCTTTTAAAAACCGGGAGGGCAAGGTTACAAAATGAATCACTGCTGATTTAATGTCCATATGTTAGATTACATCTTGGAGTCCAACAATCAGATAGAATGTTAAGACAACTGTGAAAGACCATCCCACCTACCTACTCCTCACTGTAACACTTACATCCACCATCTCATGTGCTCTCTCGTTTTCATGTATTTTTACAATTAAACACATCAAGAAAGACTAAAAGGTAAACGTTTATTACTAGAGAAGAGAAAAATGAATGAAGTGTAGGTTCTTTCTCTTCATGCATTGCTGTTCTCGTAAATTTCCAAGTATCGACTTTAAGATTTTACAAAGGTAAAATTTAGCTTACATAGGACTTATTCCTGTGCAGTGGACAATGTTTCTATAGAAATCATATACTGAAAATTAAATAAATTCCTACAGTTTACAAGAAACGTAGAGAGCAATTACATAGTAACAGAAGACAAGTTATATTTTAGTGAAAAATATTATAAAAGTCATATAATTGCTTGGCTTTTAAGAGTTTAATTACTTGATTTAAACAGAGCAATGAAAAAAAAAAAGGAAAGAAAAATCAAGATAGGCCCGATTTTAAGATTTTTTGTATTCAATCCGCTCTACTTTGACGTCGTCTCCAATGAGCTGGTACACGTAGGTGACCACTGTAGACGCCTGGATGTCCATCAGCACAAACGAAGGAATAATGCTTCTGGAAGTGAAAGCAAACAAGTGTCAGTGTTCCAGGCTGAGGAGTAGCAGGACTGAAAATCTGAATTTAAGGCAGTTTGGATTCAAGGAAAAATGAGACATTATATATAAAAATGACAGAATTATTTATTTGGCTACATTTTACTTTGTACCATGTCACACATGCAGTTAACTTCACTGAAGCTTCCAAATTCCCCAAATGTATAGTACTTACGTTTCCAAGGCATTATATGCCCCAGTAGCAGAACCTGGGTTAATATAGAATTTATTTTCATGCTCAAATGCTTCAAACTTGTGTGTGTGTCCAGAGATGAGAATGTCCACATCAAACTGCCGTTGTAGCAGGGCTAGGCTGGCCATATCTCCCCACGGAATAACTTGATGTCCGTGGATCAAGCCAATTTTGAACTGCCCAACAGTCACAACTTTCTGTTCGGGATAATTCAGATTCTAATGTAAGAAACAGACACAACAAAATATACATTTCAGAGACAGAGATTTTAAAAAGAGATTTATCTGCCTAACTCTGTGATCTCATATGATTGATCATTTTAATTCCAAGATCCCAAACAGATTCATTATTTATTTCTCTATTTTTAAAGATTTATTTTTATTGGAAAGGCGCATGTACAAAGGAGAATAGACAGAGAGGAAGATCTTCCATCCCGATGTTTCACTCCCCAAGCAGCCGCAATGGCTGAAGCTGAGCCAATCTGAAGCCAGGAGCCATGAGCTCTTCCAGGTCTCAAACGTGGGTGCAGGGTTCCAAGGCTTTGGGCCATCCTCGACTGCTTTCCCAGGCCACAAGCAGGGAGCTGGGTGGGAAGTTGAGCAGCCAGGATTAGAACCGGTGCCCATATGGGATCCTGGCGTGTGCAAGGCGAGGACTTTAACCACTACACTATCACACCAGGCCCAACAGATCCATTTTAAAACATTGCTTTCCTCTTAGTCTTTAAGACATGCTTAAAAATCAAGATAAAATGTAATTTATCATACAACTCTTCCCCTTTTCACAAAAGGTTTATTTATCTGAAAGGCAGAGAAAGAGTGAGAGGGACAGTCAAATATTTTCCATCCACTATTTGATTTACTCCCCAAACTGTGCTAGGCAAAAGCCAGGTGCACGGTCTGACTCTTCCACATGAATAGCAGGGGCCCAAGTGCTTGGGTCATCTTCCACAGCCTTCCCAGGCACATTAGCAGGAAGTAGTTGGGAAATAAGACTAGCTAGGACTTAGATCAGCACTCTGACATGAGATGACAGCATGTCCTAAGCGGCATTTGGGTTGCTCTGCCATAACTCCAGCCCCTTTATTTCTGTTTATATCCATGAAATGTGGATTCCCCTGGATATGCTCTAAAGCAGGGGTGGGAAACTGACTTATTTATTTAGAGCAAGAGCCACTTACATGTGTATAACATTATCTGTAACCTTTACAAAATTGTCAATCAACTTAAACAGGTCTGTAATAGGGGGGCAGCATGTTTGCTCAAGAGGCTAATCCTCTGCCAGCCAGTGCCAGGATCCCATATTGGTGCCTATCCTGGCAGCCCTGCTTCCCATCCAGCTCCCTGCTTGTGGCCTGGGAAAACAGTCAAGGACAGCCCAAAGCTTTGGGACCCTGCACCAGTGTGGGAGATCTGGGGAAGGTTCCTGGCTCAGGATCTGCTCAGCTTCGGCCATTATGGCCACTTGGGGAGTGAACCGGCAGATGGAAGCTCTTTCTCCCTCTCTCCTCGTAAATCTAATCTCACATTTCAATAAAATCAATCAATCTTTAAAAAAAAACAAAGAATCTAGGAAGGAAGCTGTCTGGGAAGGGATGGGGGGATGCATCACCTCATCGAAGTCTCCTCTCACGACGTGGACGTCCCCGGCCAGGGTCTTGAGGTAGTCATAGCTCTCTTTGGTGCAAAGGTTCCCGGTGCAGAGGATGTGCTGAATCTTCCCTGGCACCAGGAGTTTTTTGAACTTGGCCGGCAAACTGTTGCACCGGTGGGGGATGTGCAGGTCTCCTAACACCAACACCAACTTGCAAGTGTCAAGATGAGACAAAGCATCTATTAAACACGGTGTAGAAAACAACACATCCACTTTCCCTTTCTCTCCTTGGAAGGGAAGCCTACTGCGTTCCAGAACCCTAGAGAGAAGTCATCTATATGGTTCCTACACAGACATGTAACGTACTCGCTTCTAAGCCAATCTTGTTTCATCATACAATCTAAACAACTGTTCTATTTACCAAGGATCAAATCAATCATCTAAAGTGATCCATTTAAGATGCACAGATGACAATGAATTTTTAAAAATTGTAAATCAAAATTACATACTAGGTCTTATGAAATTTGCTATTTTTGAAGAGTGATTATTTTCATATGAGGTTATAAAGTCTATAAATTCCAGGATTATATTAAAGGGACTTGTTAAAAAAAATAATTCTCTAACATATGCTAAGATGAAAATTACTTGGAGAAAGAGCTGCCAAAATTGATCAATTCTGTTACCGTACATATTAGCTAAACATTACATAAAAAAATTCTGTTTGTTTCAAAGCGTGTGTTTCTGATCTGACAGTTGATACACTCACTTTACTAAAAATCTTGCTATATTTGAGTACTATTAGCAAATCTTTAAAAATATCATTTGTACAATCTCTCATGTGCATTACAACAAAAAAAGGTAACTCAGATGAATTCAATGATGCATTTAGCAATTGGCCTAGAGTTACAGCATAGATTCAGGAGACAAAAATAACTCTCAGCTCAAATAAATAAATAAATAATCCTGGGCCTGAAGCGATAGCCTAGTGGCTAAATCCTTGCCTTGCATGCGCCAGGATCCCATATAGGAACCTGGTTCTAATCCCACTGGCCCCGCTTCCCATCCAGCTCCCTGCCTGTGGCCTGGGAAAGCAATGGAGGACATCCCAAAGCCTTGGGACACCGCACCCATGTGGGAGACCTGGAAGAGGCTCCTAGCTCCTGGTTTCAGATCGACTCAGCTTTGGCTGTTGCAGCCGCTTGGGGAATGAATCATTGCATGGAAGATCTTTCTGTCTCTCCTTCTCTCTGTAAAATCTGACTTTCCAATAAAAATAAATCTTAAAAAAAAAAAAACCTTCTGTAAAATTTTTACTTGAAAATTTGAAGACTTGGGCCCAGCGCAGTGGCGCAAGTGGTTAAAGGTCCTCGCCTTGCACGCCCGGGATCCCATATGGGCGCCGGTTCTAATCCCGGCAGCCCCGCTTCCCTTCCAGCTCCCTGCCTGTGGCCTGGGAAAGCAGTCGAGGACGGCCCAAAGCTTTGGGACCCTGCACCCACGTGGGAGACCCGGAAGAGGCTCCTGGCTTTGGATCGGCATAGTATCGGCCCGTTGCGCTCACTTGGGGAGTGAATCATCGGACGGAAGATCTTCCTCTCTGTCTCTCCTCTCTGTATATCCGCCTTTCCAATGAAAAAAAAAAAAAAAAAAAAAAAAATTTGAAGACTAAAAATATCATTATTTCATTTAGCCAAATGGACAGAAAACTTTTAAAATGTCACTTTAAACTGTCTTTTTGAAAGAGAACAGAATGAATTTCTTCTTGTTCATTAGCGATTGCGTCTCCCTTCTGTAAGGACTGTTACCCCATCCAGACAACCCACCCACGTACAAGCATGCGCTTTGTTTTTACAGGCATGACTATTAATTGACATTAAACAAAGCCATTAAATGTCTAATAGGATCAAACAAGATTTGCCACCACACACTCTGTAAACTGAAATCAATCAAAAATCAAAATGTGTGAAATGAAAATGACTACTAAAACAAGCTTAATTCATCTTGCAACAATTAAAAGGACTGCAAAGGAAGGGCCAGCATGTTGTTAGAAGAAAGGATACATGAAGTAACACAAAGTTACCAGTCAGCACACTTTCAAGGGAAGCGGTCCCTAAGTCATTCATTTGGCCTATGGTGTTTCAAGGCAATTCTGAGCTAGAACATCTGTGACACTGAGGACACATCCTCAATGGTAATTAATGCAAACCTCTCCCTGTGACAGGACAAGCTTCACTCAAGAGGGGCTCCCCTCATCATGGTTAACATGGGGCATTTAAGAGAAGGGCAAATGTAGATTGTTATGTTAACCAAAAATCTCAAAAATCATTAAAGCATATAGATCTGTAACAGGATGAACCTGTTTGAGAATAATTTTTTTTAAAAATGAGCTGTTTAACCTACAGTTACCAAAAGGGACACTGGGTTGAGATGACACTTAATAACAACAGTGGATGATCTAAATTGTGCAAAGTATCGTGGACTGTTAATCTTTCTGACCACACTGCCAACCCTTCAGATGAGCAAGGACCCCTCCTAAGAATATTCTGGCTTCCTGCTGGTGACAAAGTTGTAGGGGCAGTGGCGTCACTGCCAAATACACATACAATGCAATAACAAATACATCTCGAGGCGTGTCCTTGTCTCATTTCCACACTTTGTCAAACCAGGTTAGACACAGATTTGTAAAGTCATTTTAAGACAAGCCAAAGATCCTAGAAGTGACCAGTGTTGTTAAAACCAAAAAAAGAACCAACCCAAAGCACAGGAATTGGGGGTACTGCCTGCTGCACAGACCCGGAGGGGTGAGCGACCCAGTCATCAGCCACCCATCCACCATTGTTAGTAGGAGCTAAGAGAAGACACTTACTCTGTGCCCAGCCTTTAGTGGCATGAAGAAGTTGATTGCAGACAGGGGGATGAAAAAAAAGAGGGTGAAACATGACCAATGTTAAAAGGAAGCAACAAAAAGAACAAACCAAAGGGGGGAAAAAAAAGAACCAAAAAAACCCACATCAAATGAATAAGCAAATAATTGTTAATGATTTCTGAGTGTTATGAAAGAAAATGTTAATAAAAAATCAGCTGTTCTCAAAAACAATACCAAAAGCACCTCTTGACTGTATTTTTACACACACACGCGCGCGCACACTTTTAATGAATGTGCCTTGTCGGAGGTTTCTCAATTTTGTTCTCCACATCGACTCCCATTCTTTTTTTGCTTCCTGTACTGTTTGGCATCCCAGCCCTGGCTGATGCACTTCCCATCCAGCTCCCTGCCAGCTCCTGGGAAAAGCAGCGGAGGCTGGTCTAAGCGCTTGGGCACCTGCACCCATGGAGGACACCAGGACGAAGCTCCAGGGGTGCGGGGGTACAGGGAGGGGGGTTCCCGTAAGCACGAAGGAGTTGCAGCTCCCCCAAACCGCCACCTTCCGCACCCCTCCAATCCCAGCCATATTTGCACAATTTCCCCCATGTAAACGACTTCACACTTTCACTTCATTCTACGCTAAAGGGTCGCGGCACTCGAGTTCACCAACAGCCCCAACGCTGCGAGGGCCAAATCCCCCAGGGCGTCATTTCAGGGACAGGGTGCGTGTGTGTCCAGGGACAAGCTTCATTCCAGGCCAGGATGCTGGCTTCTTCCCACACCCGGGGGATGGCGACCCCGCGGCAGATGCACCGTGTGGGTTTTCGTGACCACTACAGCAAGGGCGCCCACCCCCGGCACGTCCTCCGGCCCCTCGGAGCGATGGCCGCTCGCCCGTCTCCTCCCCCAGCCCTCCTCCTGGGCCTTCCCGGGCCAGCGCCCGAGCCGCCCCGGACATGCCCTCTAGGATGGCCCGAGCCCGGGGACAGCCCCGGGCCTCGCCGCGGCCCCCGACGACGCAGCACCCCCGGCCGGGAGTCCAGCCTCGGGTCGCCGCAGCGGCGGTGCTCACCATCCTGTCACCGGACTCGGCTCGATCCCTGCAGCCGCCGCCGTCTTCTTCCTCAGGATCCTCGGAGACCCGCCCACCTCGCCCACCCGCCAATGAGAAGCGAGGTCGACCGGAGACGGACGTACGGACACCCGCACGGGCCTTTCCCCGCCGGAAGGCGAAGTCCCGTGGCTGGAGAGCGATGACGTAGTGTTGGAAAAGGGCGGGCAACATCCGGGCACGCGGGGCGCTGGCTTCGAGGCGCGTTCTCCGCCCGTAGCCATGCTGAAGTGCGGGATGAGCGGCAGTGCGGTGAAAGGTGGAGAGCCATTTTTTGTTTTCTTTTCGGATTGCTGTGTAGACAGGGAAAGGCTAAGGTTCATGGAGTGTCTCCACCGTCATCTTTTTAGGGCCTCTGTCTCCCAGGCGCCTGACTCACGCAGGGTCCTGTCAGGCCACTTTCTGAGGCGAGGACCGAGGCCCATCGCCTTTTCTTATGAGTATTTTTTAAGCAGTGCCTCTAAGGTGAAGTTGTCCCATCTCGTCCGACTCGGGCTAGAAGAGGAGCTGCGGCCCGAAAGAACAGAGGGAAAATGATGCCTGAACAGCAAGCGTGTTCAGAGAAAGAAGAGCCTCAATGGGATTTTTAAACGTTCCAGACTCTACCGTTTCTTAAATGTCTGACCTCGCACAAGCCGCTAACCCACGTTCTCAGTCTGTTCATTTGTAGAATAGGATCATGTAGCAGCTGCCATGCGACAGGGTTCAGGGAAGGGAACGGATGGCAGCAAAGCAGTGATCAAAGGGAATGCCAGGGAACTGTTATTCTGGAGATAAGTATTCAGAACAGCAATGGTTTATGGTTGGTGTGTAAGCACAGGGAGAGTGTTCATGAGCGGAACAGGGAGCACACAGCCCCTTCTGTTGTTGGCTCTCAGAGTAGAATACTAGAACATTCTAGCAAGTTCTTTATTGTACACTTCAGTTTTCAAAAAAAAATCATGTATCATTAGTCTTGTTTTTGTTTAGATTGTGAGTGCTATGAGGACAGGGACTATATCTATCTTCCTTTTATTTCTTTCAAATTTCATTAATTTTTATTTATTTGAAAGGCAGAGATAAAAGGACAGGAGCAGGCAGAAGAGAGTCTTTCATCTGCTAGTTTACTCCTCAGTGTCGGCAGTAACAAGCTGGGCCAGGCGGAAGGCGAGAACCTGGAACTCCATCCGGGTCTCCCTCGTTGGTGGTGGGGACCCCAGTTCTTGGCTATCACTAGTGCCTTCCATGGTACACCAGAGCAGGAATTAGAAACATGCCAGATGCTTGAACCCAGGCACTCCAATATGGGATAGGAGAGTCCCAAGTAATTGTAACCCCGAGGCAGATGCCCATCTCTATTCCTTTTTCATTGCCATACCTGCAGTGCCTTGGGTTTATTTGCCATAGAGCAGATGCACAATATTCAGTAAATAAAAAGTCAGCGAGGGGATGGCACTGTAGCTCAACAGACTAATCCTCACCTTGAAGTGCAGGCATCCCATATGGGCCCCAGTTCGTGTTCCAACTGCTCCACTTCCCATTCAGCTCCCTGTCTGTGGCCTGGGAAAGGAGTCAAAGATGGCCCCAAAGCCTTGGGACCCTGTATCCATGTGCAAGACCTGGAAGAAGCTCCTGGCTACTGGCTTTGGGTCAGCTCAGGTTTGGCTGCCTTGGCCACTTGGGAAGTGAAACAGTGGATACAAGATCTTTCTCCCACTCTCCTCCTTTGTAAATCTGCCTTCCCAATAAAAATAAATAAACAAATACAAATTTACAAAACAAAAAATTTAAAGCAATACAGAGTATAAAAAAATAAAATATGAGTCCAACATACCCTCACAAACTCCTCTCGTAGTTAGGCCTTCTGCTTTACAGTTTTTTCCAATAAGACTGGATGTTTTGAATCTGTATGGAAAGAGGTGAAAAGAAATGGAATTTGATTTCATTGAGATTATTCTCAGCCTGTGGGAAAGCAAGGAGAGCCTGTAGGATACACAGCTTCTAGATGAGAGTGCTTGGTAGAACCAGGTTTGAACTATACGTTGCAAGACAGGCAGCCAAGTTTGGGTAGAATTCTTGTTGACAATTTCCAAATAACTAATAGGTAATATCTATCAGTGGTGGTTATGATGCCAAAAGCCTGTATCTTCCTCTCCAGGGATTTGACTTGCAGGTCAAGGACTTATTGTTCAATTGGGTCCATTGTTGTATGTAAATTTATCTTGAGTCTCCTGAATGCTAATATAACCTTTAAAGGTATGTTTATTGTTAGAAAGAATATAAGCAGTGTTTTTTCTTTTTCTCCCTAGTATTTGGGAAAGCAATCCAAGCTCTGTCCCGAATCAGTGACTTCTTGTGGCTTGACCCATCTGAAAAAGGTGTAAGTAAAAAAGTTAAGAGAAAGGGGCCCAGTGTGATAGTATAGCAGTTAAGGTCTTCTCCTTGAACACGCCTAGAGTCCCAAATGAGCGTCGGTTCTAATCCCAGCAGCCCTGCTTCCCATCCACCTCCCTGCTTGTGGCCTAGGAAAGCAGTTGAGGATGGCCCAAAGCCTTGGGACTCTGCACCTGTGTGAGAGACCCAGAAAAGAAGCTCCTGGCTTTGGATTGGCTCAGCTCCAGCCATTGCCGCTACTTGGAGAGTGAACCATCGGATAGAAGATCTTCCTCTCTGTCTCTCCTCCTCTCTGTTTATCTGACTTTCCAATAAAAAGAAATAAATCTTTAAAAAGAAAAACAAAGTTAAGAAAAGACCACGCATTCAGCCAAGAGAAGATGCTTCAAGAATCCAGCCCAGGCTGATTGTTAACCAGATCAAGTTTTCTCTTGGCTTGTACTCTCTGTAATTCCCTTCATGTTGCTTTCCGCTGCTTCACACATTAAAGTAAAAGCCTGAGGCACTTAGAATTTGAAAATTTCAGACTACTGATTTTAGATTTAGGACATGTATGTATTTGATATAGATATGCTCAGTTATGTACACACCTGTACACACTGTGCACTATACACTGCAGTCCATAGCTAACATCTCCTCATCTGACTTGAACACAGTCATGTGTCTTGTAACAATGGGGACAGTTAGGGAAAAATGTGTTGTTGGGCAGTTTAATCTTGTGTGGCCTATGATTTGAGATGCCATTACGTAGCACATAAGTGTATTTGTGATGTGAAACATAGACATTTTTGAATTAAACTATTCTTTAAAGGAAGTTGATTGTCCCCTAAATAACCATAACCTTATTTGCTCAGCTTGCTCTAAGGACTCTGAATTCTTCTGAGTCATCATATGGATCGATCCTCTTCTCTCCTGTGTTTTTTCAACATTATCAGTGGTTGGCCCCAGTGAAAATGAAAGACAATGGCACAGCATCTCGTTTAAATTGCAAGTTGGGAATGAAGGTAAATAAAAATGGCCCAAGTTTTCTCTTGTGCAATAGGAACATCTGTTACATAGGACATAGCATATACTTAATAGCATGCAAGACAAGTCTACTCACTTCTGAATACAAACACTCTTTTTACTTTTTGAAAAGCTAACAAAGCAACCACAGTAGATAAGTGCTTAATATGTATACTCTATTTGTGTTACAGTCAATTCTGCCCATCTTTAGATACCTTAACTCCCTTGAGAGAAATGTCGAGAAATGCAATATATTCACCAGTTCTGATAACTGCAAAGTAGTTATTCGATTCTTCTACAGACATGGTAAGTATAGTTCGGCCTGGTTAAAAGGTTTTTTTTTTCTAGTTGAAAGTTTTAAAAACACTTTTTACATTTAGAATACTGACACTGTGTATCAATATTTCACACTGCTTTATTGCTTAGAATTTGTATAGTTAGGCAACAGTGCAGTTCCTTTCTTTATTCATTTATCTTTATTGGAAAGTCAGATATAGAGAGTAGGAGAGACAGAGGAAGATTTTCCATATGTTGATTCACTCCCCAAGCAGCCACAATGCCCAGAGCTGAGCTGATCTGAAGCCAGGAGCCAGGAACTTCTTCCAGGTCTCCCACGTGGGTGCAGGGTCCCAAAGCTTTGGGCTGTCTTTGACTGCTTTCCCAGGCCACAAGCAGGGAGCTGGATGGGAAGTGGAGCAACTGGGGACAAGAACCGGCACCCATATGGGTTCCTGGTACATGCAAGGTACTAGCCACTAAGCGACCACCCCAGGCCTGCAACAGGGCAGTTCTAGCTATTGTTTATTTGCTGTAAAAGTATTGTAAAATGTTTGATATTATTTCTTTTTTGAATTATCAGTGACATGGGATTGGCCTGCATTGAAATCAAGTTCTTAAATGCCCATTTCAACTCAAACAAATAGTTGTTCTAAAAATGACATGCTATTTAATATTCTGAGAGTGCTTTGTGTGTTGTCTTAGCAACAAATGCTCCTTGGTAAGAATGGAAGCGAATAATGGCTGCCTGTACTAACCACAATCCAGGAGACAGATGCCATCGTGTAGGACACGGGACTGGCACGAGACCATGGAACTCATCAGTCACCAAGGCTGGGTGTGACTGCAGGTCCTGAAAGTGGGAGCCAAAGCTTGTGTTCCTGCCCTGAGGCTCCAGGCTGCCTGTGGTGCTCTTGACACCCAGCCTTGCCTGCTAGGCTGAAAATGTACTCATGGAACTTTCCATCCTGTGGAGCAGAGATAGAAGGCAGCCACTCGGGAAGCCAAGGATCCAAGGGGAACTCTGGTTCTGCTCTTTCCTGTGTGATACCCTGAGAAAATAATTTCACATCTCTGAGCCTTTACTAAGTAATTTTAGTACCAATCTCATGGGATTTTTGTGACACCTCAGTGAGTAATTCCTGTATATAGCGGAACACACAGCACATTCTGTAAGGGTTCACTTCTTCTGGCGTTCCCACATGGGCACAGGAGCCTAAGCACGTGGGCCTTCCTCCCCTGTTTTCCCAGGCCGTAAGCAGGGGGCTGGCCTGCAAGTGGAGCAGCCGGGATTCAAAGCAGCACCTATATGGGATGCCAGCACTGCAGGCAGAGGATTAGCCAGATATGATACCCCACCAGCCCTTACATATATATATATATTTTTTTTTTTTTAAGATTTATTTGAAAGACAGTGTCACCTAGAGATAGTGAGAGGCAGAGAGAGGAAAAGATAAGTCTGTCTGCTGATTCATTCTGCTAATGACTGTAGCAGCAGGGTCAGATGGGGGCCAGGAGCCTCTTCCAGATCTCACACTTAAGTGCAGAATCCCAAGGCTTTGGGTCATCCTCTGCTACTTTCCCAGACCACAAGTAGAGAACTGGATGGGAAGTGAAACAGCCAGGGGATGGTGCCCGTATGAGATGCAGCCCTTGCAGGTGGAGGATTAACCTGTTGAGTCACCATGTCAACCCCAAATAAAATAAATCTTTAAAAATTAAAAAGTAATAAATAAATAAATTAAATTAAATTTAAATTAAAAATTGTAGTACCTGGCACATAGGCCCATACCCATATCAGGTTGAGCATTCTATTCCAAAATCTGCAATCTAGAACTCTTGGATATCATGTGCTCAAAAGTATAAAATTTTCAGATCTTTGTGTTAGGGATAGTCAGCTAGAAAGGCAATGTGCCAGGTACCACAAAATCTAAGAAACCCTGAAATGTAAAACAAGCATTTCGGGTAAAGTATGCGCACCCTTGCCTGCTTCCTCTCCTTCTGCCCTCTGAGATGACTCATGGACCAGATGTTGAGGTCTGACCAGCAGAAACCTATTCACAAGGAGCACTGCTGGCTGAAAGGTGCTTACAGAGGGTCAGACTACTGGGCAGTCAGTGTTCCACACACAAGAAACTACATCCTCATACCTCTGGACTAATGCTGTGGTACTGTGACTTGAAAAGAAAAAAAGCAAAGAAAAAGAAAAGAAGGAAAAATACCTGTATTTTATGGGAATTCAGGTACTCTTCTGTGCGTTAGGTCAAAGAGTGGGACATGTCCATGGTGGCCATTAGGGGGCACTAAGCACATTTCCTGCAGCAGTAGAGCTGCTCCCATCTTTACACACCTGCCAAATAGTAAACATTCCTTTAGATTTATTGCCTTCCTTTGGCTGTGAAAATTAAAGACTTTTAAAAGTACATTTATTTTGGGGCCCAGAGCAATGGCTCTATTGACTAATCTTCCACCTTACAAGTGCTAGCGTCCCAAATGTACCTCAAATTCATGTCCCCGCAGCTCTACTTCTGCCCAGCTCCCTGCTTGTAGCCTGAGAAAGTAGCAGAGTATGGCCCAAAGTTTTGGGACCCTGCACCTGTGTGGGAGTCTCAGCAGAAACTCCTGGCTTCAGATTGGCTCAGCTGTAGCCATTTGGGGGCTGTACTAGCGGATGGAAGACCTCTCGTCTTTGTAAATCTATTTTTTCAATAAATTTATGTTTTAAAATACATACATACTAATTTTACACACAAAATACTAAGCTGGCCTTCTTCTTTTTAAGGTGTTAAAAGAACCCATAACTTGCGTTTTCAAGAAAGTATGCCTATGCAAGTGATCTTTGAAAAGAGTACATGTTGTAATACACTAATGATTCAGCCACGGTAAGGAGTCCTCTGGTATGTTTTTTTTTCTTTTTTTCTGAATGTAGCATGACCACAGAAAAAAATAATTAATGCTGTGGAGCTTTTCCATTACAGGATTTGTTTATTTTAAGCTCAAACCTGACTCAGAAAAAAAAAATCACCTCACAGGGTCAAGAGGAATCCTTGAGAAAGACAACCGCAGAGAACAGCTAAAGCCAAAAGCAGAGTAACTACCGCTAACAGCAGAGTGACCGCCTGATGGCCTCATGCTTCCTGGGTGGCCAACAGAGTTCTAAACATATCCCGCCAATGCCTTCCACATCAAGATCTAACGAAAGAGAAAAATTCGTTCTCTCAACAAGTTTTATCTTGACATGGTACCTGAACCTCAGGACACAGAACCCACGGAAATTGCTAAGCGTTTTTATTTTTTCTCCTCTTCGATAATGAGGGAGGCACATTTGTTAGTGAAAGTGTACCTAATGTTTTAGTTTAGCACTAGCATTAAACATTAATTACCAATAGTTTGTGAGCCAAAAGATATTTTATCCTTATTATTGTTTTAAAATATTAGTGTTCATTATTTTAATCTACTTGAAAGGGAGAGAGAGAGAAAACCTTGTGTCTGTTGGTTCAGTACCCAAACACCTGCGACAAGCAGGTCTGGGGTGGGCTGTATTCAGAAGCCCTGTCTCCCACAGGGGTCTCCTATGTGGGAGGCAGGGGGCCAGGCACCTGAGCCATCCACGGCCACCTCCCGGGATGCGTTACCCAGAAGCTGGATTGGAAGTGGAGTAGCTGGGAGTCACGCTTGGCACTCTGATAGGCAACACAGGTGCCCCGACAGGAGTAATTTTTAACCAGATGCACCACAACACCCACCTCCTGTATTTTTTTTAATTTCAAAGGTAGTACATGATTCTTGCAGTACAGTCCAAAACATACCAGAGTCCAAAGGAAAGAAATGAGTTTTTCTCCATCTCTTATATCCCCCTGAAAGGGTCAGTAGCTTTTATTAACAACTGGATGCCTCTGTAACGTTCTCTTCCTATAGCTGTGATGGTCATCTCTCTCTCATTTATACCACCTATTAGTCCTGTTATCCATATTGTTTGTAATTTCTTTTTAACTTATCATGAGTATTTTTCTATATCAGCTCATTTAAATCGATTCTTTTGGCTGGTTGCATAATTTTTATTGTTTTAACAGTTATTCTTAGATATTCTTCTTACAAATACTTACTTTCATTTTGTGTGAAAATCAGACACAGACAGAGAGACTGCTTCCACTTTTTGCTTCACTCCCCAGTTGCCCCCATAGGCAAGGTTGAGCCAACCCGGCTTGGGTTCCTGAGTCCAGCTTCTAGTAAAGCGGACGGTGGGAGGCAGTGATGATGACTCAGGTAGCTGCCTCCCTGCTGTCCACGTGGGAGACCTGGCTGGGGGTGGGGCTCCTGGCATCAACCTCGGCAGCTCCGACTGCCGTGTTAGAAGGATAGAAGCTCTTGTTGCCCACTTCTGTCTCTCTGCTTCACTACATAAACCATAAATGAAATTTAAAAAGCAGACAAAGGTTTTTAATAGACATTTCTGCAAAGAAGATGCACACATAGCCAATGAGCCCATGAAAAGATGCTCAGCAGCACTAGCACTAGGAGACGGGAGCCAAGAAGCTTCACGTGTGGATTGTGTCATGTGTGTATTATATCTCAACAAAGCCACTTCTCTCTAAATCATTTCTGTGACAGCAAGCACAGGATAAGAGTGCATTGGGCTGTATGGACGTTTCTGAGTGTATCGGGAACAGTCCAGGAGAGAGAATGTGAGCAGCAAGCAGCCTCCCCTCGAGTCTCCAGCAGAGTTCACCTCACAGGATTTGAACAGCTCCGTTTTTTTGTTTTTTAAGTTTTGTCTATTTATGTAGTTGAAAAGATGTATGCGTGTGTGTGTGAAAGAAAGAATCTTCTGTCCAGCCAGGACCAGGCCAGGCTGAAACCCAAAGACTGGAGCTCCGTGTGGATCTTCCACATGGGTGGCAGGAGTTCAGGTGTTTGGGCCATCATCTCCTGCCTCCCGGGTTGCATTAAGAAGTTGAACTGACGGTGGAATAGCCAGGACTCAATCTCGGGTATTTTGTGATGTGGTGTCTAAGTGGAGGCCTAATCCATTCTGCTGCAATGACTGCCTCCCTTCCAGTGGATGGGAGATCCCAGACTCCCCTCTCTCTCAGATTTTTAGAATTTTGTTTATTTGAGACACACACACTCCAAGTGCCTGCAGTGCCTATGAATGAACTTGACTAAAGCCTTGGAACAGGAACTCAGTCCAGTTCTCCACAGAGGTAGCAGGAGCCGTCTCCACTGCCTCCCAGGGCCTGCATGAGCAGGAAGCTGGAGTCAGGAGGGAGCCAAGCATTGAACCTAAGGATCCCCATGTGAAATGAGGGCATCTTAAATAATACATTGCATGTACTGAGCATGTAAAATGAACAGTGTTTCTAGTGTTTCGTTCACATTACAGCTTTCAAAAAATTGTTTTTCTAGTGATTTGTTTTGCTAATCTCTTGACCTTCAAATGAAGTTACAATTTAAAAATATTCTGAAAATACAGAAATTCAGGTATAAGAAAAATGATAGACTCTTTCCAATACCTTTTTCTAAACCCAAGCTGACTCACTCACTTCTTTCCAGATTAAAATCTTGAGTCATGGCTTATTGAAGTCTATCTTCCTGTTTGTTTTTCAAAGTTCGCTAATACCTTCGATTCCATTATGTAGACTGCTTGCGGAGGCAATTGTTCTTTTTACATCAAGTCAAGAGGAAGTGACTCTGGCAGTTACCCCACTGGATTTTTGCCTGAAGAGCCCTCATGAGGAGTCAATGGGTAAGAATGATACCTGTCCTGGTGTGGTTCTGGGTCAGTATTTCCTGGCTTTCCTGGTTAGTAAGAATACAGTAAGTATTCATGGTATAATATATATTCCCATTGAAAAAACATAAAGTGTGGAACAATCATAAAAATGTTTGACAATTGCCAAGAGTTAAGCACAATGAAGATATTTAGTTCGGAAATTCAGTTGTTTTAAAACTAGGAGATGAAGAAATCTTAAAAAATTTAAAAACAAAATTAGGAGAATGATTACTGAGGAAAATGTATTTTCAGTGAAGATTTTAAGTCCTGTTTTGGTGTATACCATAAAGAAAAAGCAACCCAGCTGAGATGATGCTTGATATGTGAAATTCTGAATTAGGAATGTAAAATATTCTAGATGGCACATATCTAGGGCATAAACTAAGCATGTTAAGCTGACTAGTGGCCCAGGTCAGCTCTGCCGAGATTACTTAGAAGGAATCATAAGGTATCACAAAGATCTTCTAGAATCTATCTGGCACAACAAAGCAGTTCAAACTCTTTCACCTTAGATAATTTGTTTCCAATGACACCAGTAAAGAAAGACAAAATAGAGGAAGGAACTGTACTGTTTAAAGTGAAAAGCCAGAAGAACCAGGATTGGGTCAGGTGACTGCTATAGCGCGTGGCTGTTCTCCATAGTTTACATTACTGAATTCATTTGATCTTCATAACAACTCTATGATGTAGGTACTATTATTACCCTCACTTGACATGAAGAAGTGGAAGTGCAGGGGACGGCTGTGACCTAGCTGGTGTCACAGGAAGTGGCGGCTTAGGATCTCAGTGTAGACGCTCAGGCTCACGCCCACGCCCACAGTGCTTGTACTCCTTCCTTCAAGTCTTTCCTTGGCACCCACAAGCACCTGTTCTGCAAAGTACATGCTTGGCTCAGGACACGGTCTGTTTTATGTTTCTGAGAGATCTCTGAATTACGATGGCCATTTAGTAACCAGGAGACACTGTCTCTTGTGAGTTACTTTCTTAGGAGCAATAATAGCGCTGTGGCTGACTAGGGACTCAACGTTTTAATCTTAGTATTGACCTTTTCTGTGTTAGCACACTGGAAGGGATTTGTGCCTTGTTTGAATTCCATGTATGTATAAGGTATTGTTAGGTCCTTTGAAAAAAATTTCACCTAGCCCTTGTTCTTATTACATATTTAATCCAGGTTCATTCAATAAAATAAAAAATACAAAAAAAATACAAATAAAAAGTTACTTCAGCAAGCATTGTGACACACATCAGGTTAACTCTCACCTGAGATGCCCACATTCCATCAGGCACCTGTTCCAGTCCTGGCTACTCGGTGTGTCCAAGCCAGCCTCCTCCTGATATGCCTGGGAGGCAGGATGACACTCCAAGTACCAGGGGCCTGGGCGTGCAGAGGAGTCTCCTTGTAGGTTTGTCGGGTTTTCCCAGTGACTAACGGCACTGAGCATCTCTCCCTGGGCTCGCTTGGCCTGTGTGTGTTGTCTTTGGAGCACTGTCTGCTCAGATACCTGGCCCGTTTCTCAGTTTGTCTTTCGAGTGTTCCTTGCATTAGTACCCTTGTCTGACTTAACAATTTCTAAATATTTTCTCCCATTCTGAGGGTTGTCATGACTTTCCTGGTGGTATCTTTTGAAGGAGATAGTTTTTAACATACTTGTCTTTCGTTTTTTGCTTATGTTTTTTGGTGCATCATTAATTTTTAAATCATAAAATAATATGCAATTATAGACACAATAACTGTTCCTTTGCCTTGGAATGTACATGTAAAATTTCAAATATCAGAGGTTTGTTCTGACAGATTTTGACATCAATTCTGAGAAAAAGCTGTCTCAAGCAAAGACATTACACAGTACCCCATAATTATAAGGGTAGTCAAAAATCACAGAAGAGCAAATTAAAAGGGTTAGGCAGCAGGTGTGGTGGCATATCAATCCAAACCTCTGCCTGTGGAGCCAGAATCCTGTATGCACATTGGCTTGAGGCCTGGCTGCTCTACTTCCCATCCAGCTCCCTGCTGTGCCCTGGGAAAGCAAGTAGAATGGCTCAAGGCCTTGGGACCTGCACCTGCGTGGGAGACCCAGAGGAAGCTCCTGGCTTCAGATCAATTCAGCTCTGGCTATGAGTCCATTTGGGGAGTGAAACAGCTTTCATCTGAAAGTTTCTTTCTGTTTCTCCTCCTCTCTCTGTAACTCTAACTTTCAAGTAGAATAAATAAATCTTTATATATACATATATATATACACACACACACATACACATATAAATACATATATAATCTGTTTTATGTAAAACTTTTAGGAATACACTCATTTAAAATTTGTATTTATTCAAAGGGAGAGTGCTCCTATCTACTGGTTCACTCTGCGTGTCTTCAAGGCTGATACTGGGCCAGGGTGAAGCCAGGAGCCAGGAATTCAATCCAGCCCTCCCTGCTGTGCCCAGGGCTGCACTAACAGGAGTCGGGGAGCAGATCCAGATGCTCGTGGGCAGGCCGCAGGCATGCTAGCCACAGCTGGAAGGCCTACTCCATCTAGCTATGTTACATTATGCATTTCACAGGAACTTTTCAAAGACCTCTTATAGGCATGGGTTTGAAATCTCTCTTTAGTAAAGTTATAACGCCATTTCACATGAACTTTTCAAGTCCCCTGGTAGGCCTGTCCAAGAAGCATTCCCCTGGACGGCTCACGTGACCACTCCCAGCAGCAGCTGGAGACTTTATAGCTTCACTTTGGCTATCTTTCTAAATTAAAAATCCAGTTAATACTCCCCTAAGACTCATTTTTTTAAAAATAAATATTTGTTTATTTTTATTGGAAAGGCAGATATACAGAGAGGAGGAGAGACAGAGAGGAAGATCCTCTGTCCGATGATTCACTTCCCAAGTGGTGGCAATGGCTGGAGCTGAGCCAATCCGAAGCCAGGAGCCAGGAGCTTCTTCCAGGTCTTCTATGCGGGTGCAGGGTCCCAAGGTTTTGGGCTGTCCTTGACTGCTTTCCCAGGCCACAGGCAGGGAGCTGGATGTGAAGCAGGGCTGCTGGGACCAGAACCGGCACCCATATGGGATCCTGGCATGTTCAAGGTGAGGATTTTAGCCACCAGGCCACCGTGCCAGGCCCAAGACTCATTTTTGTCTTTGTTTTCCTAAACAGATTTGACTAATTCCGTTTACAGTGAGATGTTCGTTGGCCCAGATGAGTTTGACTTCTTTCAAATTGGAGTGAATACTGAAATAACATTTTGCATGAGAGAATTGAAGGTAAACAAATAATTGTGTCAAATTCAAATCCAAGTTTCACATTTTTTAAAGGAAGATTTAAAGTTTTTTTTTTTTTTTTCCTTGTTCTTCCCCCAGGGAATGCTGATGTTTTCAGAAGCTACACACGCACCTATATCCATTCACTTTGATTTTCCTGGAAAGTAGGTCCTGGGAAACTTTTCTAAATTTTTTTTTATTAGAGTCAATAATAAAACCCTGTGAAATTAATTTCTCCCTCAGGAATTGTCTAACTTTATTAGACAATTATTATTATTAATTCTCCTTCTAAACAAGTCATTCTTAAAAAAAATTTAAACAAGTTACATATCTGTGAAACTGCACATTTTTAGAACTAAAATATCTAGCACAGTTAAGATGCGTTTTATGAGACTTACTTCCACAGATCCATCAGCTCTTATGACAGCGTTGGTTTGTGAAAACACAAACACTCGAGTTAAGTCTGCGTTTTTCACTTCAGAATGAAATATCCTTTGCTTATGTGTGCCTCGTAGGCACGAGAAAGGTGTCATTTTGTCTCTGACCTTGTCCTCGCAGGCCCATGGCATTGAGTATCGATGATATGTTGTTGGAAGCCAACTTCGTTATGGCCACCCTGGACGATGGCCCCAGTGGGGCCTCCTCGCCGCGGTCCTCCCTGGCCCTATCACAGACAGGAAGCAGGTAAGGCCATGCTGTTGTCTTGGACTGGCTGGGCAGGACCTTCCCCACCTAACTCTGGGCCGAGGCAGTGGCCTTCACTTGCAAGCTGCTGAGGCCGGTGGTGTGACCAGTCCCAGCCTTGCCTAATCTCTCTAGCATTTGCGTTTTCTCTTCCCACTGGAACTTCCTCAGTCTCTCTGCTGTTTCCTTGTTACTATGTAAAGACGCTGGGACATGTACCAGCACACACATGGGATGCTGGCACTGCAGACAGCAGCTTAACTGTTTAGCACCAGCACCAGTTCCAGTAATGTATTTAACTTTTCTCCCAACCTGGTGCTGTTACTGTCTCACAAGATATCTCCTCCACACTTGATGGCTTTACTGAAAGATTTGAATCATGAAGAGAATTTCCAAGTGACTGTATACACAAATCTTAACAATGCATTCCATTTGCCAAACCAGTCCTATCTTTGTCATTCCATACTGCTCCACTTGGAGCAAATACGTTGTTTGCAGGTCAACAGTTCATTAAATTACTTCCTTTTAACACTTCAGGTCAGATCTGGTACAGTCAAATCCTGAGGCCAGTAAAGATGCAACCAGCCAAGTCCCAGACCGTCTCTCTAGAAGAGCAACTGGAAGATTCCACCGATGCATGGATACCTCTAGGCCCCAAGATCCTGGCAGCCCCGAGCTAGAAGTGGGGAGCACAAACATCAGTGAGGTTCCCGAGAGTGTCGTCAGTGACCCTGAGGAAGGACCAGGCCATCCACACCTCAGGAAGGTAGGGGCAGAGGACACAATGGCCCACATGGCCCATGGGGCTTCTCCTCAGCTCTGTGCTCTACAGGCATGCTGCCCAGCCCACCCACAGGCCTCTCAACTATGCTCTTGTCTCTAGGCTGGGGAGATGTGAAGTCACAGAATCCACTTAGCGGGCAATTCCTAACAAAGCCTCTTCCAGCAGACACTGGACAATTGTCTTCAAGAAGATGTGATAGTTACCTGGCTTGGTCTCCACTTCCAGCAGCCCCTCCAGTCATACTGTTGGGAGCTTTTGTTTCTCTTGCTTCAATCAAACTTCACTTCTTCGAGTCTCAAAAAAAAAGTGCGATGATTAGAGTCTAGTTTATTTTTGAATACAGAATCGCGTAGACGACGTTTGGTAACTTTTGTGTAAATAACTTTTGGGCCACCTGCCCTGTGCCTCTTCTACCCCTCCCCCCAGGTTGGGCTCTTCCCCCTGCATTTCCTGTGCTAAGGGGCTGAGGCAAACCCTTGGAAATCTGAAATTAGGGGCAGAGTCAGCAAGCAGCCTCCCCCAGCTCAGGACCTCTGTTCTCTGCCTCCCAGTTCTCCCTGTGGGGTGCGCTGGCCCTCACATCTGGGCTCCCTGGTCAGACCTTGTGGGGTGCGCTGGCCCTCACATCTGGGCTCCCTGGTCAGACCTTGTGGGGTGCGCTGGCCCTCACATCCGGGTCAGACCTTGTGGGGTGCACTGGCCCTCATGTCCGTGCTCACTGCTCAGACCTTGCTGCCATGCACTGCCTCGTTGACCTGGATTAGTTACTAATCTCTGGCTAAGTCACAGAAAAGCTTCTTTATCAGTAAAACGAGGATACACCTGCTACATAGAACTGTAAAAATTCATGGAGCTAATATTTATAACTGGCCCGTGGTCAGTTCTCAATACAAGTTATCAGGGTTCCACAGCTTGCTTTAAACAGCGGCCCAGCATTCTGTGTCTCCTATGGACCCTGGGGCCTCCAGTCCTCAGAGCAGTTCTTGGTGCTTGCCCTGGGTAGTGAACACAGTCCTCCCAGGCCTTCCAGCCCTCTGCCCTCCTACCTCCCTCAGGACCATGGCAGCCAGCTGTTGAGCCCGTGTGTTGACAAGGACCTTAGAGCCACCTCTGTGCTTGAGTGCAGGGTCTGCCCCCTCTGAGCCAGGCTGAAAGGGCAGCTGCTCTTGACTTCCATGTTTATGTGCCTGATTATGTGTTACTGTCTCACATTCAAATAATCTCAAACTTCGAAAAAAGCTACAGCATAGTACACAGGATTTGGGGGTGAGCATTTGGGTCAGCTTAGGTGAAGATGCCCCTTGGGGTACTTAGGTCCCATCCCAGAGCACCCACATTCAAGCCACATGCAGCTCTCAGCCAGGGTACACTCTGGCAGGCAGCAGGTGATAGATCCTTACCACCACAGAAGGGACACAGATACACACACACCTAACACACACAGCACAGATATCACAGCACACACTACACAGACACACACACAACATACACAGCACAGGTACCACAGCACACACTACAGACACACACACAGAGCACAGGTGCCACAGCATACACTACACAGACACACAGACACACACAGCACACACATCACAGGTACCACAGCACACACTACACAGACATACACACACCACACACACAGCACAGGTACCCACAGTACACACCACATAGATGCACACAACACACATAGCAAAAACTACACAGACACACATACAGTACATACAACACAGATGCAGCACATACTACTCAAACACACAGTACAGACAACACAGGTACCCACGACACACATAGCACATGCAATATAGACACACAACACAAACATACACAAGTTACACAGACACACGGCACATACTACACAAGATACATAGCAAATGTACCCACAGTGCACACAACACACACAGCACACGCAATACACACAGCAGTTCTCATTCCTCTTCTCCCCCTTGCCTGCATGTAGCCCCTTATTTTGTTTTTACACAAATGAGCATGGTTTTTCTCACTTCTTCGTTATAAGGATGCTGTTTTCCACTTTGCTTTATTCCCCTATTTTATTTTTAAAGGCAGAGAGAGCAAGAGAGAGGCCTTTTGACTGTGGTTCACTCCAAATACCTGCACTAGCCAGGGCTGAGCTAGGCCAAAGTCAGTGACCAGGAGCTTTTCCTCATGGTATGACTGTGTGCTCCTGCTGCGTTCTGGGGCATGCATGTTCTGTTAATCTCGATAGCCTCAGCCACTCAGGGCACCTCTTTCCTGAGTGAGATACCAAGCATGGATCTAATTCTGTCAAAGCGGCCGCCCAGCTCCCTGGCCCCTTCTGCCCTGTGTGACCGGGCTATTCCTTTCTCTGCTCAGCTTAGCCTGTCCATCCCCTGGCTTCCTCTGCTCCTGTCGAGGGTTCATGTCACCCTATTGGGGAAAATTTGTGTATCTGGCTCCACTGGGAGAATCTGTTGTTGCTGGGCTCTCTGTTGCTTCGGTGACCCACCCGGCATCCTTTCGACATTGGCACAGTGCCCAGGGACAGGTAGGGCCATTTCCCTTCCCCTGGCCCAGGTGCCCTGACCTTGGGGAGTGGCTCCCTGTTCTGAGTTCAGGCATCTGTTGTTACTGGCAGTGGGGTCTCTCTCCTTTGATTGCGGGTGCGTCTGTGCAGGCTTTTGTTTTTGGTGTTGATCTTACAGCCTGCTGCCTGTCTGCTGTTTCCGTTAGTTTATCCTCCTGGGGTTTTCTTTACTCAGAACGGGATGACTGTACTGCTGCCAGCCCATCCCTTGCCCCGTGTCCGGAGGATGACTACACATGTGGTGTGGTGTGGCCACGGCTCCCTGCAGATCTGCCCCACCCTTTCCCCTCAGCCCAGGCTAGGCTAGATCTTTCTTCTCTCCCTTCCATGGTAGCAGGCACAAAGCAACTCCCAAGCATTACGCTGCATTTGGCCTGAGGGTGCCTCTGTGGAATGCCCAAGTAACAAGCAAACTGCCACGTAACTTAGTAACAAGAGAGCCACAAAACAGATTTGTAACAGGTGGCTGAGCCTTAGCCAGTGACAAATGCAGGCGGTTGCTGATGGTTGCTGATGCAAAGGAGGCCAAGGTCAGTGCCGCCCTCCTGTGCTCTGTGCACACACACTGCCTGCCCAACCTGCAGCTCTCCTGTGCCCCATGCACACATGCTGCCCGTCATTAGGGAACCCTCTCTGGTTCTGGGACTGCCCAGTGCATGACTTCAGTGTTTGATCAGTGGCTGTTTAATACAGCTCTTCTGGAGGTTCTTTGCCCAGCTCATCATCCTGCTGGGCAGGCTGTGGGCTAATGGAGGGCAGCCTTCCTTTGACCCACCACTTCTCCCTGTGTGGAGCTGGTGCCATCTCCCTCTTAGCCTTGCCTAGCCTGCTCCAAGGGAATCACAGATCCCCCCATCAAATCAACTGCAGCTCACTTCACCCTTCAGAAGAAAAATATGCCAGGGGTGCTGCTTTGGCAGTAAGGGTTTGCAAAGTCCATGTGTTCCAGTATTCCTCTTTTCTGCTCAGGGCTGTGCTGGTCTTTATGCGTATAATCTATGCAAGAACACAGCTAACAGGTGTAGGCACCACAATGAGGACAATGTGCAAATTGTTTTTAATATTATTTGCAAGGCAGAAAGGGGAGAGGGAGAAAGGGGGCAGGGGAGATATGATGTAACCCCCACTCCACAAAAACCTGCTGTGGGCCAGGCTGAAGCCAGGAGCCCAGAACTCCATCTGGGTCTCTCATGTGGGTGGGAGGGGCTGCAGTCCTTAAGCTGGCACCGCTGCCTCCCATAACGTGCATCAGGTGAGGCCAGACCTGAAGCAGGGCTGGGACTCAAGCCAGGCTCTGCTTCCAATACCAGCTTCCTCCTCGTGCAGAGCTGAGGGGCAGCAGAGACAGCTGGAGGGCTCGGGTCCCTGCCACTCACGTGGAAGACCCAGATGGAGTTTCAGACTTTTTGTCTCCCAGCCCAGTCCAAGTTGTTCCAGGCCTTTGGGTAGATGTCTGTCACTATTCCTTTTAAAGACATAACAAGTAGATGAAACCTTAAAAACAAACACACACCAAACTCTTGAGGGAACTGCATCTGTCTCTGCCCCCAGTTAGGACCCAGCCTGGTGTTTGCTTCCTGTTGCTTCACAAGAAGCACTGTCCATGAGGTCCAACAGCGCAGATAAACCGTCTCACTGTTCTGAAGGCCAGGGAGTCTCAGATGCTCCCTGGGGTGGTCGGGGTGGTGGCAGAGTCGTGCTTCTTCCAGCACATACCAGCAATGGCCCTAGCTTTCAGGCCTCGTGCCACTGCATTGTCTCTGGCCCTGCTGGCCGGCAGCGGCTGGCTCAGTTCTCTACAGCGTTGCCCCCAGCCCCTGCAGTCGGGGAGGGGTCTGTGATGGCGTTGGGCCAGTCTGGCTGATTGGCCAGTGCTGCCAGCAACACATCCACGGTACCTGTGATCTTCAGCACTTTTCCTCCCTGCCGTCTGGGGCCCTGGGCTTAGCACACAGGCCTCTCGGGGGTTTGTTATCTGGTTTCCACGGCCAATCCCCTAACTGCTTGAGATTTTCTGACCAGAGCAGAGTCCAGCAGCGACCGTCAGAACTGCCCATACCAGCTATGACATAAGTCCAGTCACATGACTGAATGCATGTTTGTTAAAAGCCTCCAGTGCAGGGCAAGTTCAGGACACCTTGCAATGTAAGGAGTGGATTAGCTGGTAGCTATGGTGGCAGGTGAGCTGGGGTGTGAGGTGGTTTGAAGGCACTGATGGCCAGTGTAGCTGGGCAGCTCCAGCCAGGGAGACAGCAGCACAGAATGCAGGCATGCTGAGTGTCCCGAGCCATGTCAGCGGCCCAAGTGCCACGTTACAGACAGTAAGCAAGCAGGAGGGCTGGTCGAGCTGGATGTGGACCAGAGGGCTTGAGCAGCGCAGGAGCCGCAGCTGTCATAGTCCTTTTGGGGGGGGGGTGGCAGATACTACTGTTAATAGGTTTGGGGACCCACAGTCCAGGTGAGATGGCGAGTTGAGCCTGGGATAGGTAAAGCTGCAGAAACCAGGTAGCCACAGGCTGGCAGACCTGGATTTGAAGGCTAGCTGGGAGAGCAGGGCAGGAGGAAGGCTCCAGAAAGAAGTATCAGAGTCAGGCCAGTGGGGTGAGGACTAAAAATACTTGATTTCATCCAGCGTGGTTCTTTTCCCTTCCAGTTTTCCTGCATGTTCTTTGGGGCCCTGGCACCAGACCAGCAAGAACACAGCCACCCTCTTGACCACGTGGCCACAGCAAGTGACAGTGAGGAAGACGCGGGTAACAGCAATCTGTCACAGTCCAAGGCCGTGTGATGCCGAGGGCCCTGCTGGGTTGCAGGTCCGCAGGTACTTCAAGGCCCGGCTTCAGCTCCTGCAAGTCCTGCCACTTGTCAAGGTTCGCTCTAGGTCATAAACCGCTCCACTGGGAAGGCAGAGCTGCCAGCTGGTCATGGTGCAGGCCAGCTTCCACTTCTTGCCAGTCCCTGCAGGTACTGAAGCTGCCTCCAGCGGCCCTGGCTTCTGTTTGTGCTCGGCTGTCCTTGTACTTCAGGCTTGGGTGCTTAACAACCAGACAAGTTAGGCTCTCTCTTCTCATAGAGTGCCCCTTTGTGTTGAATAGTTTACAGGCTAAAACTGGAAGTAAAATAACCCCAAGGAATGGAGATGAATAAAAACCTAAGTCATCCCCTCACTCTGGAGCCTTTCTCATTATTGTAGAACTTTCCGTCGTAGCCTTAGTTGTCCTGAATTTCCACGTGACTCAGCATATTTTCACGTGCACCAGACACAGGTGAAGCCGGATCTCTGTGATGACACAGGCAGCAACCTGCTCTGCCCAGAGGTCGGCAGACGCTCGTGTCTCCACTCACATGCAGACAGACCCAGGAACACTGTGATGTAACATGCCTGCTACTGCGAGGGCCGTGCCTCTCCCTGCCCTGGGCTGTTCACACTCAGCCGGAACCTGACACGCGGGGCCTGAGTGTGTCTGTCAGGCCTTGGTGAAAGCACCAAGCCATGAGGAGCTGGGGAACATTGTGAGGAGTTTGTAAGGCGGCTTCGATACTGAAGCAAAATGGATCTGGCTCTCGCAGCTCGGCAACATGTCATTGTTACCCACAACAATCTAATAAAAACTCAACTTCATCCCAAGATGTTCCTCGGTGACGGAAAATGAATCTCACTAAGCTTTATGTAGAAACTGGCAGTGTCCAAGGGACTTTAGTGAAGTCCTTTCATGCCACGGTCTGGAGTTTTCTAGGATCTCATCCTTCATGACGACTCGGCATTTTGGCTGCTCAGCAGATGCAGACGGCTTCCCGGGGTGGCCAGGCACAAGCACGCCTGGTCAGCGACAGCTGGGACAGACCACTAACAGACAGCGACCCTGGGCCGCTGCATATGCAATGAAGGCTAAACTTGGCACTCGCTCGCGCGTGCGCTCTCTCACTCTCTCTCACACACACACACACACACACACACACACACACACACACACACACACACACACACACACACACACACACGCCATTGGGGTTGGGTAGGCAGGGGTGGGGCAGCTTCACTCTACAGTGTCTCAATAGTGGGGAAACCAGTCATTTACATTTGATAATAGCCACTGGGAGGCCTGGAAGCCAGCAGGCTGGGAAACTAGAGTGGAGGCAGCCAAGAGTGTTCAAGGTTAGAAACCAAGAGCTGGGAGTGCAGGCGCCCCAGACACCCCCACGTACACAACGTCAAACCCTTGTCCTGTTCCGTTACCCTTCAAACCAAGAGAAACACACAGGTTAGTATAAATACTATATTTATTAAATATCTTTACAGTTTCTTTAAATGTATTTACAGAACTACTCCTGCATAAGTTATATTTCAGACATCCAATTCAGATAATTGCCCGTTGGATAAGACAAATAATGATAGTCTCAACAGAGGAAAAAAGCAGCTCATTAGTATACACAGATTCAAACTGGCTTCATCATTTAGCCATCTTTGCTGCAAAATACCTGCTAACTGAAAATTTGGACATGGACACCATTTTTAGTTGAGAAGCTGAATTTTGCCAAGTTTTTATTATTTTTTTTTTTAACTGACTTCAAATACTGTTTCACGGGACTTTTTTTTAAATATATATTGTAAAATTTGTTAAGTGCAGAAATGTGATACAGTTTCTAGAGAAATTGAATGCTGTGGTTTTTACCAAAGACAGCTGGTATAAGGTGTCAAGAAACCTGGAGCTCCTCCAGACGTACAAACATTTACAAACTCCAAAAACACTCAGAATACTCACAACGGACTCAGGAACTTCTGCTTCCTGCCTCGTGACACAGTGTGGTAGGCTGGTGGCACTGAGCGATCCCAGCTCCAGGACAGGTGCTGCCCACAGAAGGGTGCACTCCCTTAGGAGAGGCGCTGCCCGCAGGAAAGGGCACACTCCCTTAGGACAGGTGCTACCCACAGGAGAGGGCACACTCCCTTAGGACAGGTGCTGGCCACAGGAAAGGGCATACTCCCTTGGGACAGGTGCTGGCCACAGGAAAGGGCATACTCCCTTGGGATAGGCACTGCCCGCAGGGGAGGGCACAATCCCTAGCATAGGCACTGGCCGCATGAGAGGGCACACTCCCTAGCATAGGCACTGGCCGCATGAGAGGGCACACTCCCTAGCACAGGCGCTGCCCATGGGAGAGGGCCCACTCCCTAGCACAGGCGCTGCCCATGGGAGAGGGCATACTCTCTTCATTCTGATCTGGACCCAGCCCCGCCCCGCCAACTCCACCCTGACACGCACACCTGGAATGGATTCTTCTGTGACTGAGCACCCATCAACCATGTCCAACGAGTTCAGTCATCAGCACAAAGAACGTGTTTTCCCTTCATTTCTTCTCTAAGCTTTCAAGAGCCTATGGGGCTTTACTTCATCTGCATTTGGTAATTTTTTTTTTTTGTGCGCAGGCAGCTTTAAGTTCATAGGAAGAAATAAGGTCTGATATGTTTAGAGTGCACATTTTTAAAACAGAACAAAATAAAAATTTCAAGCATGTGATAAAAATATTGATTTTTTTATAATACAGTATTGCTTTATAAATATAGATGGAAAAAGCTATAAACTTTATTGGTCTTTGGTGCATCCAGAGGGATAAATAATTTGCCATTTGTAAATTAGAAATCCAAATTTTTTCTCCTGTTATAAAAGTCCATTTTGTGAGACAAATGTGTGTGTTGACTCTATAGTTTTAAAACACAATTCCCACACACATCGAGTTCAGAATCACGGCCGCCAGAGGTATCGCTCGGCCCCACACAGCCACTGGCCATGGAAGCCGAAGGTACTTCCAGCAGCACTCCCACCGGCCCTTTGCAGTCAGTTAAGTGCATAACACGGAAGGGACAGGGGAACAAGAGGGAACAGAGAAGAGTCTACGTGACTAACGTACAGGCCAGGTCCACAAGTCAACACCACTGTGCAACTCAAATCTCGTCCCACTATTTTCAATGTCAATTTCCAACAATCATTTCTTTAGAAAGTAAGCTGATTAAATGAGTTGTATAAACCACCAATCTAGCTTTATGAGATTGTGTTCGTCGGGTTGAATGAGAGCAGAGAAAAGCCAGTAACTTGACCAACACTGCTCTGTGACCACTAATTAAATGTAGGCATTGGAAAATTAATGCAAAATGTATCCAAATCACAAGGCTACATACCTCTGACCAAAATAATTAAGACACCCACACAAAGCCGAAGCCACCAGTCCCGTGTAAAGGCATTCCTTCTGGCCAAACCCTCTGGATGCAACTCCCGCCACTTGGAGAACACACGGAGACTGCAGAAAGTCCGTGCCCCACGAGACCCGCCACTCACACCTCGTGCTCCCTTCCCTGGCTTGAGGTCGTCTCCTGCGCCCCAGCCCCCTCCTCCACCAAAGAACTGTTTTGTCAAGTTAGGGCAGTTAAGGCATTCTGACATGTAATTAAAGATGATTCAAAATAGATACCTAACATTATGCCAATCTAGGAATAGTAGATAAATTACTGAACAGCTTAAAAATGAATAACTCATTCTTATTATAAATGAAATGCCTGTTACAAGCATGATGCATTGAAATATTGTAATGACATGTACATGGTACATGTTAAACAATTTTAAATAAAACAAAAGCTCGACAGTTACTCAAATATACAGTACAAATTCACAAAACAAAATCTTTTAAAACAAGTTGAGGTAACCCCAAACGTAAGTTTGAATGCAATGAACCAGGAGTCAGTCTCTCGGCTAGAGAAAAGGACTTCCTAAATTCTCCTCAAGTAGGTTTGCATCAGGGGTCATTGCATTCTCATCTCTACACCAATGTTACCTGACTTAGATAGAAAACATGGCTTTAATTTAAGGATTTCTAAGTATATATATATATTTTTTTCTACCACCAAGTTAATGAAGGGGAGGAACTGACCCAAAAATATATATCTTTACAGCAGTCAGCTGGTACACAAACCTTCAACATAAGTTTGAGCTTGTAGACCATGGGAAAACCGAGTGCGGGGTGGCTGTGTGAGGGACGACACACTGCAAAATGGCTATTGGGAAACTGTAAACATTAAGCTCGATTTGGAAACCCCTATATTTCTGCTGCGGCCAACTGCAAGCTGTCAGGCCCTCCCTGGGAGTTCTCCTTGTGAATACCTTGCTGCTGCCCTGCCCAGAGGACCACACACTGGGTGCACATGCTACAGCAGGCAGGGCTCCTAACACAAGGCCTCAGTGAGACTGGGCCACATGACCATCAGAAGCCAATGGAAGCCGAAGTCCCAGCTGTCCGTTCTCAACCCTCTGGACTCAGAGCGGTCGCCTCACCAGCAGCGGGCTCTGAGATCAACAATCTTGAGCAGTAATTTCACCAATGACTTCCACTAAGGAGCCCTCCCACCCATACTGCACATCAGGCCATCAACCTATGACTGGACTAAGTGATAAACTGCCAAAACTCTTAATCACAGGACCACAATTCAACATCTTTTTAAAAGTACGAAATATTTGCATCCATAGAACTAAAATGAATTTCTCTTCTGATCTGTAACAAGCTGCTGGGATCGAGATCTTAGAGCCCACAGCCGTGTTGTAGATCACAATTATAAGCTCCTGAAAAATAGGAGTTTACAATGAAAATAAGAAGCCACACCCAGTCATCAGAACAAGGACTATGCCTGTGGAGGACACGATGACACCCTTGGATGAACAATGTTTCCTAAATATATCTTTACAATATGACTGGGATAAGACTCACTGCAATTCTGGATTCACTTTACCAACGTTACTCATTTCCCAAACTTCAACTGTTTTTGAGAAGTAGCAGCCTGTGAGAGAAGTCACATGCTGGGAGAGCTTCCACGAGGACACCTGAGGGCTGAGTTCCCTTCGGGCGTCGCCGGCAGCCGTGAGTGAGGGAGGGACAGTAGTGGTTCTCAACAAAGACCTCAATGGGCCCCAAGGACAGGCCCGATACCCGCGGTCCTGCCGGCAGCATGGGCACCGGCGGCAGGGACGCTGAGGGGAAACAGCGCTGACCCCACGGCTGCTCAGTCAGTGTACTCGGCCACGATGGAAAGGAGGACGGTGATATCATCGGGCTTTCCACCTAAAACAACAGGAAGACAGAGGAGTATTTTTTTTTCTTGTTTCTTTTCTTTTTTTAGTGTTTCTTTTAAGGCCAGGAGCTCTGGCACAGGTGGCAGGGAACCTGCTGCCTCCTAGAAGGTATGTCAGCAGGAAGCCAGCCTCAAGCAGAACCACGACTCGCGCACACCCTCCAGCATGGCACACAGCTGCCCTGAGCAGCACCTGCTCACTGTGACAAATGCCTGCATCCACAGCAACACCTATAAATGTATGTGTATTTAGGACTTATTATTTTTTATTAGAAGGCAGATATACAGAGTGAAGCAGAGACAAAGATCCTTCAAGGATCTTCCATCTGCTGGTTCACTCCCCAAGTGGCCACAATGGCAGGAGCTGAGTAAATCTGAAGCCAGGAGTCAGGAACCTCTTTCAGGTCTCCCACTTAGAGGAGGGACTCAAGGACTTGAGCTGTCCTCCATTGTTTTCTTAGGTCACAAGCAAGGAGCTGGATCAGAGGTGGAACAGCCGGGACATGAATTGGGGCCCATATGGGATGCTGGTGCTGCAAGGTGGAGGATTAGCCGGTTAAGCCATCATGCTGACCACTAGAGCATTATTAAAACAGGTGAATAAGGCAGGCATCAGGTTTAGAATGTCCCCTGGGACAGCCCATTTCATACTGGAGTGCTTAGGTTTGAGTCCTGGCTCCAGCTTCCCGTGGATGCACCCACAGCAGGCAGCAGGTGGTAGGTAAACTGACTGGATTCCTGGCACACACATGGGGCCTGTAGCTGCTTTCTGGACTCCTGACTTCCGCCCTGCGTAGCCTCAGCTATTGTGGTGTTTGGAGGATGAACTAGCTAGCAGACAGAAGATCTCTAGCTTTTAAATACTCCTAAATAAGCGCTAGAAATAAATGCATTTCAGGCAGGTGGTTTTCAACGCACTCAGAACAGGGCAAACAACACCTCCTCAACAGTTCAACAAGAATAACCGAGAAGCCCTGCCCACTTCCAGCAGGAGCTCTGTCAGCAGCCACTACTGCTCTCCGTGTTATCAATCACAGCAGAGACAAAACCCATGCAGATCAATTTTGCCAGATAAGACAGCAACACACTTCTACCACAATTGTAATTTGGACAAACACAGCCCATGTTTTGAAAGTAGGAACAGCCTTCTTTAATTTGCCAAACAGTAACGGCATGTGTGTATGTGTGTGTTTTTAAACATTTTTTTTTCTATTTTAACATTTCATGGAGGGCTAACAAATGCTTCCTATGTCAGCGTATTACATCAGCAACACACAGACTAATCCCATTCATTCTGAGGTGTGAGCATCAACATGTCATTGCAGCTTGGAAACCCAAAAGTCACCACCAGCAGACTGACAGTCCTCTCCATGAGGGCTTCCCTTTGTGAAATCCAGCCACTGCCAACGAGTCCCCCAGAGTCAGGGGCAGGGATAATGAGATGTCAGATGCACAAAGAGCAGAGGCTAAATGGTCAGGAGCGCCCAGGCATTCTGTGAGGACTGAGGCCCAGGCAGTGCAGCAGGGGCAGTAGAGAGAATCCGGTTCTGAGTACCTAGGCAACCTATGAGGTTCCCTTCTGAAGGGCATCTCTGCAGGGAACACGGGGGACGCGTGCTTGCCCTGGTCCTCCTGACCTTGCTCGAGGCTAGAGGACATCCACACCCGCAATCCAGACCCAGTTAGTCCCTACGACCTTCCCAAAGCATACTTACCTCTCACATTCAAGCCGTTGTCACATGCAAACTGTGCAAAAGGTGACATATAATTTGGGTCATATGCCAGCTCGTGAGCTTGCTCAGCAATGCTTCTTGCCGTCTGCTGGATACTCTCATAGTTTGAGTTCTAAGGCGGAAAGAGGAGGCATTATTTTCACCACATACCGCACGTGATTTCTGCAGACAAGTCAGCTGCTCACACAGATCAACTTCAGGACAGTAACGTCTCACCACGCTTTGTACACTGATGTTGCATTCTAACTAAAGACCAATAATCACTTTACACTTGAAGGAGTGAATGAGACTGCCAGGCTGTCTGCATAACCTATCAGTCAGAAAGCTCTTGTCTGTGATGGCCCTGGACCTCTTGATGCTTCGATTTTTTTTTCCCCCATTTGAGATTCTTATTCTTGCAAAAATGAGATGGATTAAGAATGCAGATTGATAGCATTTGAAGGATGACCTTGAAAGTTTCCCTGCTTGGGAATGTAACCCTGGCCCACAGCTGGCTCTCCAAGGAGAGCTGCCAGCTGCACTGCTGGAAATACTTTAGGTTCTGTCAGGATGACAGACTGGCCCAGCTGTGGAGTCCCGAGCAGACCTCCATCTTCACTGCTTCTCCTCACTCACCTGCAAAACGTGGTGCCCAGGAAAGTTCCCTTTCCACCTGAGTAATAGCTCCTGGCTTCACTGTCACTGCTTCAAGGGACCCTGCTTGACCAACCCGGGCTGCCCCATCTGTTCTATTCAGCACCAACACCTCATCACATTCCCTAGAGGGTGAACTTCTCTGTCACCACACAGAAGCACCTGTCAGTTCTGAACTTCACAGATGAGCTGTGGTGCTAGGGTTCCCTGTGAGTAAATCCTGACTGTAACCCTGGCAACAGGTTAGAGGTAAAAAGCAGCGAGCCAAGGCGCCTTTCCTGCACACTGGGTACCTGGTGTGGTGGCAGCCTGGCTTTGCTTCTCCCACCATGCAGGTAAAAAGTCCGACCTGCTGCCGGGGTGGGAATAGCCCAGACTATAGGATGGCCCCCAGCAGCTCATGGCTGATTCACATATGACTGTTGCTTGTCTTCCAGCCTCAATGCCTGCTGGGTGTGCGGTTAGAAAAAAAGGAGCAAAAGGCACCAAGAAGGCAGGTCCAATGAACACCCCATGAGAAACACCGATCCAAACACCGATGAGAATGTGCTGCCTACTGTCAGCACCCCATGAAAGGCCTGCGTGCAAGGTCTCTTCTCTCAAGTTCCCACCTGTAGATGCTTCCACTTACAGTAACTTGAAAGAGAACTACAAAGCATAAAGAAAAAGGCACAAAGGAATCAACAGTCTTCGTACGCCCAGGGAGGCCCTGACTGAGGGCTGAGCCTGGGGAGTTACCTTTAGCTTCTTGAGCTCCTGAAGGATCATGTAGTCAGGCATGTTGTCGAAGAGCCCATCTGTCGCCGTCAGGATAATGTCGCCCAGCTGGACATCGAAGGCCGTGCTGTCAGCAGCTTCCGGGCTGAGGCGGGGACCGAGAGGGGGGCAGGCAAGAAAGTCAGACAGCCGTTGAGAAACACAATCTCATGCTTCCCACAGGCACTACTTCACAAAGCAAAGAGGCTCCTTTGAGGGAAGCCAGTCCATCATAACAGTGTCAATTAAAACTTTGAAAACTACTGTAAATGTTCCAAAACCTTGAATGAGCCCATTCTGTGAAGCCGAGCCCCACGATGGATGCTGGGCACAGGTGGCTTTCAGCAGGAAGGGTCCCCATGAGTCAGACCCAGCATGCCTCCACAGTCCTGGGGGAAATGCCTCTGCTCCCAAATACACCAGATTTCATCCTCCCTTACTCACTGCCTCCCATCCACCTCGGCACGCCTGGCCCCAATTCTCAGGAAGTTTGTGCTGGAGTAAGCATGGGTCCTGGACACCCTCAAAGAAGACCCTGCCAACCATGTGTCTCCATGTGTCACAAAGTGCTTGCCACACACTGGGGTTTATTTATTAGTATGCCTGGCACATAGTTTTCAAGAAAATAGCTATTGAATGACTAAGTGAATGAAGAAACAAAATATGACTATAAGCTGGGGATGGGTGGGACCTCAAACCATGTTGAAAAGAAGGGAGGCTCTGCAGCCATGTGGCTACTGCTGCAGGACGGGGGGTGCTTCTAGCTGAAGAGTCACAAAAACTGCTCACAAGGCAGCCCGGGAGGGCAGGATGTGTGGCTGCAGGCAGGAGCAGGCGGTGGGCTTCTCACTACAGTTCTTCAAAAATAGCTTTTTAAAAAAACCAGGCAGGAAGATCTGGCATGATGGCCTAGTGGCTGAAGTCCTCACCTTCCACGCATGGGATCCCACATGGGCACCAGTTTGTGTCCCGGCAGCCCCACTTTCCATCCAACTCCCTGCTTGTGGCCTGGGAAAGCAGTAGAGGACAGCCCAATGCTTTGAGATCCTGCACCCATGTGAGAGACCCAGAAGAGGCTCCTGGCTTTAGACTGGCTCAGCTTTGCCATTATGGCTGCTTGAAGGAACGAAACAGCAGATGGAAGATATTTCTGTCTCTCCTTCTCTCTGTATATCTGCCTTTCTAATAAAACCAAATAAATCTTCAAAAAAATAAACCAGGTAGGAGAACTAATGCTTGATGCAGACAGACCTAGGCCTGAGAACAACCTGGTGGGAGGACGCAGCACACTCCCAGTGGCCATGGCCTCCTGGGACGGGTCCTGGACACTCCTGAGGGACAGTCTCACTATTGTTCCCAGACCCCAGGGCAAAGAGAGATGCCTGACAGCCTGTCCTCACTGAGAAGCCAGACACCAACCCGAACAGGAAGGGGCAGAATGGATGCAAGCAGAGCTCGACAGAAACGCCCCGGCACGTGTGTCACCAACACAGCGTGAAGAGAAATGCCGTCGCCCACCACCTCCTACGAGGAGCTCCGTGGGAACAGGACAAAAGCTTCTGCCTCTCTTTCCTGCCCTGAAGGAAGCAGACTCGTCTCCCACTGACAGAGTCTAACAGGGAGCAAACTTTCCTCTCATTCAGCTTGTAAATATTGTGTAATAATGGCTGCTGTAAGTTAAGGTTTAAATACTTCATAGCTAAGAGCCCCCATAACTGCAAGCTACCTGCTGCAGGAAGAGGAGAGGCCCTACACCTGGCGGACAGCAGGCCAGTTCTTTCTGGGGACGGGAGGGAAGTGATGGCAGACACTGCCGCCCGCGCAGGCTTTGACAAGGAACCAGAATCTCCACGTGTGGATGAGTGAACAGGCTGGCACGGACACTCGATTTTATGCTGAGGTTTTTCTTTCCCCAGGAGTGTCCTCTGCTTCTCGGCCTGTAGGAGACTCGCTCCCATTGGACAGTCTGTCCTCTCCTACTACTCCCACCCACGAGCTTGGTGTTCTGCCAGCTGCGGTTTTGCCCATTTTGATTGAACACGCTGTGCTGCTGGAAACTTTTGACTATACTGAAACATGAGCCCAGATCACATGCTCCTGAGCTGTCTCTGGCTCCAGAGGAAGCCAACACCACCTCACGGGCCAGCAGCACCGTGTGGCCCTCACCAGCCTGGCCTAGGGACAGCATGTCAGATAAAGCAGTGCCAAAAAACAGGAAGCCTCAAAAGAAGGGAAATGGAAGCTCTGTTCTTCAAAAACGGTTAGTGACCTTGCAATCCATGCAGGTCACAGGGTCCTGAGCTCTCCCCACTGCAGTGTGGCCAGCACTCGAGGGTGTCACAGACAGATGCAGGCCACTGTATGATACAGTATCTCTGGCTCCACTAACCTGCTCACATCTGTAAGCACATTCCTTTCTGCAGGAGACAGCGACAGACACCTTAGGTGGGTGACCCCAAACACCTGATGATACACCACACTCATTTCAAGGGAGAAGATGGCAGGAATAATCATCCATCTGACCTACATGTGAACCTAAGAGCGGCTATGCACAAAACCAAGTGAGACAACTAACACACACACGAAGCAACACTAGAGGCGGCAGGGGCTTCGGCACAGTGGCTAAGTCACCACATGCACCTTCCCCCTCCTACATCGGACACCTGGGTCTGAGCTCCTACTCCACTGACCAGGCTTCCTGCAAGCGTCCACTCTGGATAGCTCAGGCAGCTGGAGCCCCACTGCCCACCAGGGAGACCTGGAAGGAGTTCCTGGCTCTGGGCTTCAATCTCTAGCCTAGTTCTTAGTCCTGGCTATTGCAGGCATTTGGGGCTGGAACCAGTAGGCAGATCTGTCTTCTCTTCCACTTTGACTTTAAAACAAATAAAAATTAAAAACAAAACAAAAAAGCAGGGACCAGAGTGCCATAGTGGGTAAAGCTGATGCCCGCAATGCCACATGGGAACTGGTTTTGTGTCCTGGCTGCTCCTTTTCTGATCCAGCTCCATGATAACAGCAGAAGATGGTACAAGAACTTGGGCCACTGCCACCCAGGTGGGAAACTGGATGAAGCATCTGAATTTAACCAGGCCCAGCCCTGGCTGCTGTGGCCAAAAGGAGAGTGAACCAGAAGAAGGATCTCTCTCTTCCCTTCTCTGTAACCCTTTCTTTTTAATAGGGCAAAGATTTTTCTTGTTTTTTAAGAGATTTATTTTTATTTGACAGGCAGATTTATAGAGGGGAAGCAGGAGACGTGGAGAGAAAAGATCTTCAATCTGCTAGTTCACTCCCCCAAATGGCCAAAATGACAGGAACTGAGCTGGTCCAAAGCCAGGAGCCAGGAGCTTCTTCTAGGACTGTCACAAAAAAACATAAGGTTCCAAAGGTTTGGGCTGTCCTCTGCTGCTTTTTCAGGCCACAAGCAGGGAGCTGGATGGGAAGTGAAATAGCTAGGACATGAACTGATGTCTAAATGGGATGTTGATACTTGAAGACAGAATTAGCATTAGCTAGTTGATCCATTGTGTTGGCTGCTGTAACTCTTTGAGATATAGCTTATCCCCACCCTGCCCCCCTCCCCCCACCCTGTGCAAAAGCACTTGATAAAATGCTTCTGCTTTCACAAAAGGTTCACCACTCAGTCATAAACTGCCAATGATGTATGTGCTGGACCCTATATGGTTGTTACAGGGCCTTATCTGGGAAGTTCTGGACAATTCATAATGAAATGAGGGGCGAGCATCGGGCCTAGCGGTTGGTGCTGGTTAGGATGCCTGCATGCTGCATGGGCTGCCTGAATCCAGCCCCTCGCTCTGGTTCCTGACGTTAGCTTCCTGCTGATAAACACAGGGAAGCGGCAGGACGGCTTCTTCCAAACCATAGGAAGCCCAGCACTGCAGAAGATGGTACTGAACCAGCAGACGGCTTCTTTCCCCCCTTTTTTAAATATTAAAAAATAAAAAAGAACTGAGAAAAAGTATCAGAAACAGGCTCTCTCGACACCATCATCACAGAACACATCTAAGACTACTACTGATTCTATCGGCTGCAACCTGGAGAACCAGGAAGCCATTCTGAGTGAAGCAGGTGACTGCTTGGCTCTCTTCCCTAAGGACAAAGGCAAACTCCATCCCCGGCAACGGCACACATCACCAGTGACTCATTTCTCCAGAACGATGTGGTCACGGTACTGGTATGAAAAACTGAAACACTGGTAGCCTGAAATAGTATTCTCAAGTTCTTGCTTAGTTATTGATGCAAGATCTCGTTAAAGCAAACTGTTAAAGACCTCTTGATGAGCACATTCTTCTTGGGTCTTTTTTTTTAAGACTTATTTATTCTTATTGGAAAGGCAGATTTACAGAGAGGAGGAGAGAGAGGCAGAAGAAAGAAAGATCTTCCATCCATTGCTTCACTTCTCAGATAGATGGCCGCAATAGCTGGAGCTGAGCTGATCCAAACCCAGGATCCTGGAGCAGGGTCCCAAGGCTTTGGGTCGTCCTCCACTGCTTTCCCAGGCCACAAGCAGGGAGCTGGATGGGGAGTGTGGTAGCCAGGACATAAACCGGTGCCCATATGGGATCCCAGCTGATGCAAGCAAGGATTCAGCCATGAGGCTATCATACTAGACCCTTGCTGAGTCTTTTCTTATACAGAAACAGATAGTCCCTATGCTCACCTCATTCGGGGGCGGGAGGGCCTTATGATGAGCTCGCACTTCAAGTGGAGAGGGGAGGTTACCTGTCACTCAGGACGACTCCCTCTGCTTCGGGCGGGGCGATGGAGAGCTGGAACGGAGTGTTGAAGTAGTGCTGCTGCTCGTCGGACCGGTGCACCACCTCACCGCCCCTGACCACCAGGAAGCCGGAATCCCCGAGGTTTGCTGTGTGCAGCCGGTGACTGCTCCTGTCCAGCACCACGATGCAGGCGGTGCTGCTTCCTGGAAACCACAAGGGGGCCCAGTTACTTTCTCTCCCTCACCGACCTCCATAAACACACCCTTACCATGTACCCACCACCCACTTCCACCCCCAAAACCGCACGCCAATGTCATCTCCTTTGCCTAGGCAGGGCATTTCTTGGCTATGCTCCACATACGCTGTAAAAGTGAATAATAACCTTATCAGGGTCAACACACTGGGGACAGAGAGGGGACCCACATTACACGTAATAATGGGGCCACTCGTCATCAGAGTTCTTCCAGTTGGAGAGACAGAAGCAACAGCAGAAATGACTGCTATTCAATCACAATTTCACTTCATTAGTGCCACCGTCTGTGCCAAGTGCTCAGAAGCAGGCTGTGGAGACATTAAGGTTTAATACTTAAATGCCAGAGTGAGAATGTTAAGTTATCCTGACATTTCTCCATTAGTCACTGGCAGGAAACCATCTTTACGAAATTTACTAACATTTAAGAAAGAGCCACATAACCATAATTTTAAACTGGATTTTCATCTGTTGAGGCAATAAACAACTTTTTTGGAAGATTAATGACAGTATAAAGTGACAAGGCCAATAATCACGGGCAGCTGTTCAATCAGCGTGTGAACATTACCAACGTTCAGGGCAGAGCCCACGTCCTCAGCAGTAAGCAAAGAGCTCCGTGCGCTTCTGCTGCACACGGCCTGGCAGACGGGCAAGCAAATATCCATCCTCAAGAACTCAAACTCAAGGGCAACCAGTGAACTAGAAAAACAGGTAGTTTAAAAATTAAATATAGGGCCCGGCGCGGTGGCGCAAGTGGTTAAGTCCTCGCCTTGCACGCCCGGGATCCCATATGGGCGCCGGTTCTAATCCCGGCAGCCCCACTTCCCTTCCAGCTCCCTGCCTGTGGCCTGGGAAAGCAGTTGAGGACGGCCCAAAGCTTTGGGACCCTGCACCCGCGTGGGAGACCCGGAAGAGGCTCCTGGCTTCGGATCGGCATAGTATCGACCCGTTGCGGCTCACTTGGGGAGTGAATCATCGGATGGAAGATCTTCCTCTCTGTATCTCCTCTCTGTATATCCGCCTTTCCAATAAAAAATAATAAAAATAAATCTTTAAAAAAAAAAAATTAAATATAAATGGTCTGAAAATTTATGTTAAAAAAACACAACTACACAGTAAACATGTTTTTTTAAAAAAATTATATATATATTTATTTATTTATTTAAACTGGAAAGTCAGATTTACAGAGTCAGATTTACAAGGAAAGATTTACAGAGAGAAAAATCTTTCATCCATTGATTAACACTCCCCAAGTGGCTGCAATGGCTGGAGCTGTGCTGATCCAAAGCCAGGAGCTACACGGGTGCAGGATCCTAAGGCTTTTGGCCACCCTAGACTGCTTTCCCAGGCTACAAGCAGGGAGCTGGATGGGAAGTGGAGCAGTCAGGATATGAACTGGGAGCCCACATGGGATTCTGGTGCATGCAAGGAAAGGACTTTAGCCACTAGGCAACCGTGCCAGGTCCAAGTAAACACTTCTGCTAATGCATAATGCAACATAATGCTGGTAGAAGTGTAGGAAACATGTTGTGGTACAGCAGCTTCAGCTGCAGCCTGGGGACACAGCATCTCCCATCAGAGAGCATCAGCTCCAGTCCTGGCGTCTCACCTTCCACTCCAGCCCTTTGCTAGCTAAGGCTGCTAACAGGCTGCAGACGAGGGCTCAGACGCTTGGGTCCCTGTCACCTGTGTCGGGGAGCCGGATGCAGTGTCAGGGTCCTGGCCTGGGCCTGGCTCAGTCACAGCTGTTCTGGGCATTCAAGGCGAGCCCAGCAGATGGAAGGTATCTCAGTGTCTCTGTCACCGTGCCTTCAAGCAGGGAAAAATCAAGAAACACTGACAAATTTTAAAAATGTTTTCAAGAGTAATACTCTGAAAAATGTACACGCCCTTTGAGCTAGCGATAGTACTTATAAGAACTCCACTCTGAGAATTACTATTATTAAAGAAATGATCAGCAATGCAAACAGACTTCAGTATAAAAACACTGCACTTGACCAGGCGAAACTGGAAATAATCAAAACATCCACACCAGGGGATGAGTAAACTGCAATGCATTCAACGCTGAACAGCTGCTGGAGCTGCACTGCTGGATCGGAACCCCAGCTCTGCCAACTACCAGCCACGGGACCAAGGACAAACCCAGCTCTCTGTACCTCAGCTGTAACTACGAGGCTGGCATTGTGGCACAGTGAGTGAAGCCACTGCCCCTGGGGCGTTGGCAGCCAGCAGAGTGCTGGTTTGAGATCCAGCTGCTTCTCTTCCTGTTCAGCACCTTACTAATGTGCCTTGGGGACGCAGTAGGTGACCCAGGGCATGGTGACCTGCCACCTATATAGGAGATTGACATATGAGTTCCAGGTTCCTAACTTTGTTCTGGCACAGCCCCTGCTGCTGCAGCCATTTGGGAAGTAAATCTAGCAGGTGGAAAATCCCTCTGGCTCACTCACTCCCTTTTAGCTCCATCTTTCAAACAAATCTTTCCTTAAAAATAGGAATAATATTAGCTATCTTGTAGAGTTGCTTCCAAGAATTACAATCACCTTTGTCCTGTCAGCTATTTCATAGCCATTTAAAATCATGTTAAAGAAACACATTTGGGGCCCAACGTGGTAGCCTAGCAGCTAAAGTCCTCACCTCGCATGTGCCTGGATCCCATATGGACAATGAATCCCATATGGGTTCCCAACTGCTCCATTTCCTTTCCAGCTCCCTGCCTGTGGCCTGGGAAAGCAGTCGAGGATGGCCCAAAGCCTTGGGACCCTGCACCCATATGGGAGATCTGGAAAAGACTCTGGGCTTCTGGCTTCGGATCTGCACAGCTCTGGCCACTGCAGCCACTTGGGGAAATGGATCATTGGATTCAAGATCTTCCTCTGTCTCTTCTCTCTGTATAGCTGCCTTTCCAATAAAAATCAAATAAATCTTAAGAAAAAAAAATGCATTTGACAAAAAGCAAAACAAAACAAACAAAACACATGAGGGTCTGACATGATAGCCTAGTGGCTAAATCCATGCCTTGCTGCACCAGAATCCCAAATGGGTGATGGCTCAAATTTCGGCTGCTCCACTTCCCTTTCAGCTCCCTGCACCAACATGGGTGACCAGAAAGATGTTTCTGGCTCTTGGCTTCAGATTGGCTCAGCTCTGGTCGTTGCAACTATTTAGGGAGTAAGCCAGCAGATAGAAGATCTTTTCTCTCTGCCTGTCTTCCTCTTCTCTCTGTATATCTGTCTTTTCAATAAAAATAAACTAAATCTTTTTTTTAAAAGTATTTGGAAAGGTAAGATAATTTAAATGAAACAAGCATAACACAAACTAGCATTAAAATTTCCTTTTAAGAAAAAGGTCCTGGGCCCGGCGCGGTGGCGCAAGTGGTTAAAGGTCCTCGCCTTGCACGCCCGGGATCCCATATGGGTGCCGGTTCTAATCCCGGCAGCCCCGCTTCCCTTCCAGCTCCCTGCCTGTGGCCCGGGAAAGCAGTCGAGGACGGCCCAAAGCTTTGGGACCCTGCACCCGTGTGGGAGACCCGGAAGAGGCTCCTGGTTCCTGGCTTCGGATCGGCACAGTATCGGCCGTTGCGCTCACTTGGGGAGTGAATCATCTGACGGAAGATCTTCCTCTCTGTCTATCCACCTTTCCAATAAAAAAAATAATAAAAATAAATCTTTTAAAAAAAAAGAAAAAGAAAAAGGTCCTATCAAAACATAAAAGCCATACGTGCATCAGAAACAGCCCAGCCGAGGCAGCTAAAACCCCACTCTATCTCAGAGAGCCAGAGCAGGTCTGAGTTTTGGCTCCACCAGCCACTTCCAGCGCCCTGCCAAGGTGTCCTCTGGGAGGCAGCAGTGGAAGACCTGGACCGATGGCCTGGCTCCGACTTCGGCTTGCTCCAGACCCAACAGTTGCAGGCCTTCAGGAAGTGAACCAGCAGATGGGAGATTTCGGTCTCTCTGCCTCTCAAATAAATAAAATTAATCAAAATTTTGTTAACAAAATGCTACTACACTATACTAGCATTAAAAATGCTACTATGCTAGCATTTTAAAAAATTAGTAGGTAAAATTAAAACTGTTAAGAATTAAAAAACAAAAGCAAAATCAGTAGGCTCTGCAACCAACCAGGTCAAATCCCACAACACCATTTTCTAGCTGCAGGAGACAAGCAAAGCATGCACTCCCTCAAGGCCTGCTTCTCCCCACCAAAATGGGGAGTAAAAGATCTTTATATAACTTTATATAACTACTTCTTGGAGCTGTTGTGAGCACACAGTAGACTCGAAGCCATCATTATTCTTTGCACACTATATAAAAAAAGATTCTGGAAAAATAATCATTAAAACACAATGATTTTCTTAGTGGGGTTATGGATAATTTTTGTTATTCATTTTGGCTTGATTAAAAAACATAATTTGGGGCTGGTACAATGGCTCAGCAGGCCAATCCTCCACCTACAAGCACCAGCATCCCATATGGGTGCCAGTTCATGTCACGGCAACTCCTCTTCCAATCCAGCTCCCCACTGATGTGCTTGGGAAAGCAGTGAGGAGGGCCCACGTCCACGCGCCCCTGAACCCATATGGCAGACTCAAAAGAAGCTCCTGGATTCTGGTTTCAATCTGGACCAGCCCTGGCAACTATGGCCATTTGGGAGTGAGCCAGAGGACCTCTCTTTTTCCCTCTCTGTAACTCTTTCAAATAAGTAAATCTTAAGGAAAAAAACAAAAACAAGAACATTGCATTCTTAATTGTCTACTGCATGTGCACAGGGACTGCCCTGACAGCAATGCTCAGCCACTTAGTCCCATTATAAACGTGGAGCAAAACAAACCGGCAGTGTAACCACAGTGCTCTGCAGCTTAGTGCAGAGGGAAGACCACCAGCTCCCCTGCCTTCCTTCCTCACTGCTCCCAGCCAGCCAGCCAGCCAGCCACAACCAGCAGCATCACTACAGAAGCATGACGTCTGATAAGGAAAGATGAGAGGTGAGGAGCCCAGCCTCGACAACTCTGCGGCAGTAAGGGCTCACGCTGACTCAGTATTACTCACCGACAAGCCCTGACTATCATTTTGCTGCCCTGTGGCATTAACCTGCTGAATTAGAATCCACATGGTCAGCCCCATGACTAAATCCTCGCCTTGCATGTGCCAGGATGCATGTGGGTGCTGGTTCGTTTCCTGGCTGCTCTACTTCCCTTCCAGCTCCCTGCTTGTGGCCTAGGAAAGCAGTAGGGGCAGCCCAAAGCCTTGGGACTCTGCAACCATGTGACAGACCCACAAGAGACTCCTGGCTTCAGATTAGCTCAGCTTTTGCCACTCCGGCCATTTGGGAAGTGAATCAGTAGGCGGATGGAAGATCTTTCTGTTTCAACTTCTCTCTGAAAATCTGCCTTTCCAATAAAAATAAATTAACCTTTAAAAAAAGAAGGAATCTCTCTGGTCCTCAGGGAGGAGGGGCATGAACACTGAAAGCGGCAGCAGTGAACACAGGCCAAGGCTCAGGGAACCTTCTGGGCATCCTCACATGATGCGCTGTGTAGATGCCACTCCTGTGGGGGCAGCTCATCACCGTCATGCGAGTGTTTGCAAAGGACAAGCAGGCTAAGTGTGAGAGCAGGTGATGGCAATGACATTCTGGAAATCCCACCCAGGACAAACACATTAGCAGGGAGCTGGATTTGTTTATTATGAGGAAAGCCTTTTGTGGAAGAAAAAGTCAACCTTACAAGATCGGACCTTCCTTAATTCTATAATATACTGCCTTCCTTAATTCTACTTAACGAATTCTAAAGAAATAAGTCAACAATTCAAATGTTGGAAACTTTTTGTATTTTATAAAATCAAGGGTTGCCTGATTCTAGAATTGGAAATAAAGCCAATTATAATTAAAAGCAAACTCAGTTGCTCTGAGACCCACATCTCATACTGGCACTGACTTGTCTGGGTTGCCCCGTTTTCAATTCAGCTCCCTGGCAGTGGCCTGGGAAAAGCAGTGGCCAAGTGCTTGGGCCCTGCAATCATGTGGGAGATCAGAACGAGGCCTCCACCTGGCCTCACCCTGGCCATCATGGTCACCTGGCCAGTGACAAATAGATCTTTCCCTGGAACTGTCTTCCAAATAAATCAATACATCTTTTTAAAAATTAGAACAAAAGAATTAGTATATGATGTGAACCCAGGCCTCTATGCTGATAGAAAGCCAAAGAAATAAGTGGTTATAAAGCTGTTTTGTAGCCCCTTTAGCAGTCGCTGGATTAAAAGTAATACTAATTAGCTAATCTTGTAAACTTACAATCATTTAATTATATCTACCTGAGGTTCAGTAAAAATCAACCCATTTATGCCACAACATAGAATTTAGTCACAGATAGCTCAGAGATAGGTGAATAAGTGAGAAAGTGTGTGCCTTAAACACAATAAGGAAAGATTCTCTGTTTTTTAGAAGACAAAAGTCATCACAACATCCAACTTAAACATCTACATCACAAATTTATTTTATTGGCATTTTTTCCAAGTTCCATGAGGCTGAACAGGAAAAGACAAAGCATTTAAGGTGCCAAAACCTGGATGCTGTGTGTCTTTTAACTGGTCATCCTAAGACAAGGGACACGATGGGGGCAGGGTACACGCCAGAAGCGCTCAAGCAACCTGCAAACAGCACCTTGGGGTCTCTCGCCAGTCAACACAAAGCAACAGGGGTCCCAGGACAGCGGTGCCTCAAGCCACACAAGAAGTTAACTAAGAAGCACTAGAAATAGAATCTAGATGTCCTGCTGAACCAGAGCAGACCCAGACTGCACATCCACTCTAGGATGGAAGTAACACAAAGTGCGAGGGAACATGAGAGACAAGATTTCAGTTAAGGGAAAACAAGAACCTGGCCCAGAGAAGAGCGAATACAGCACACTGGCCAGCGTCACACCAACAGTTCAAACGGAAGGCAAATTGTGCCCCATGGCAACTTACTAACTTTGAACCGGGCCTCATTTTAAAGGGAGACCTTCTGGTAACTAGAAAGCAGCAGCAGCAGCAGCTATGAGGAACTTAATCACACCCTTTCTGAGAGCTTGCTTATCAGAAGGTTGGGTCAGTTCCCAGGAAGTCATGTAACTAACAAAGGCAGAAGCGTGGCCAAAGGATGACCCATTACTATACCAGTTAAACACGGGTGCTTAGTTTTCTAATACAAGATGAGTAGGGATCCGATATGAGAATTCTAAAGATCACATGCTTCTCCCTTCTCCCTTCCTCAGGGACAACTACAAAATCTTAGAATCTTTTCCTTTTTTTTTCCTCATTGCAATCCAATTTTAACTTTGTTTTTGAATGGAAACATGTAGAAGCTGATGGTCACGTGGTGTTTAATCGCCTCCTCTTCACAGCAGTACAGGCCACGGTGCAGCTTCTACTCCTGGAGGACTCTGCTAGCACCAACAACGTCCCACAGCATCCTTACATCTACCTTTCGGTGCACAGATGCACAAGAGTTTCTCTAGTCTACGGCAAATACCTAGAAATGGAATTGGAGCATGCTGCTACACTGATATTTAACTTTCAACGGCAATAATAAATTGTTTTCCAAAACGGCTGTATCTAGTCACACGCCCTCCATGTAAAATTAGGTATTTCAGGTTGCCCACCATGCCTTTATCAAACTCCACTTAGTACCAAGTACTCCAGAAAACAGCTGGTCTGGCAGCTAATGTCCTTGCTTTGCTTCTCACTGCCTACTGGGCTTCTTAAACGAGGAAGACACACGGGGTACCTACTTACCAAGCAAAGGTACTTTATTTTGCAGCAACTCACAGTAGCTGGTGGTAAGAATTCCGATGGGATTACTTGGTACGAACCGTCCTTCTTTGACTAAACGTTCACACGTACGCATTAAAGTCCCTGAGAACTGGGACGGGTCAACGCCATAGTCTCTCCATCCTCCCACGCCATCTGCAACCCCTACAAAACAAACACAGAAACGGAAACACACGTTGACACTTCTCAGTAATTCTCACTCCTGCTGCCTCCAAACAGTTACATGTCACATGCCAGTTCACATTCTTAACCAAAGTTCAGAATAAAATACATCGAATGTCTTACACACTAATACTCCCAAGTCGCAGAATTTGGTCTTCATATATTGATGAGTAAACGTACCAGCTACCACAGGGTGGCACTGCCTACCAGCCAATGGTTCAATTTCAGCAGGATTACCATCTTCGTGTACAGTACTGGAAGTTACTAATATTTTATATTTTGCAGAAATTAAAATGTTTAACAAACGCTCATGTGAGGGTCGGCCTTTGGCAGGGGGTGTAAGTTAACCCTGAGACAGGCGGATCTTAGGTCAGAGTGCCTGGGCTGGGGTCCCGAGTCCTCCACTTCAGATCCAACCGCCTGCTGACAGGCACCCTGGCAGGCAGCAAACGACCACTCAATTACCTGAGCCCTTGTCACCCACGTGGAAGAGACGGAGAAGATGAAAGAAGACTAGCACAATGGAATCTGACACATATCTGAAAATTTTCATAATATAAAGTATAAATAATGATGATGATGATGAAAGTTTGCTCTAGTGGAGAGCAAGAGCAGAAGCAGGATAAGAGAGCCGTGCGGTTCAGTCATCCAATCTTGGGCACTGTGCATGGTTACTGGTGGTAGATGGGGGATTGCTCAGCTTTTGTAGAAGGTATGGACTTGGGGGGCCAGTGCCATGGCACAAGGTTTCACCAGGAGTGTGGGCATCCCAGATGGGTGTCAGTTCACATCCTGGCTGTTCTGCTTCCCATCCAGCTTCCCCACTAACAGCCTGGAAAGCAGCAGAGCGTGACTCGAGTCCTTGGACCTCTACACTCATGTGGGAAGAGACCAGCAAAAAACTCCCAGCTTCGCAACAGCCTAATTCTCACTGTTATGGCTGGCTGTATGCCTCACCCCTCTGTAAATTTTGCCTTTAACACAAAAATAAATCTTTAAAAAAAAAAAAGTAGTAGCGGTCCGGCGCAGTGGCTTAGCGGTTGCCTTGAAAGTGCCAGGATCCCATATGGGTGTTGGTTCTAATCCTGGCAGCCCCGCTTCCCATCCAGCTCCCTGCTTGTGGCCTGGGAAAGCAGTTGAGGACGGACCAAAGCCTTGAGGCCCTGCACCGGCATGGGAGACACGGAGGAGGTGCCTGGCTCCTGGCTTCGTATCAGCTCGGCACAGGCCGTTGCGCTCACTTGGGGAATAAATCATCGGACGGAATATGTTTCTGTCCCTCCTCCTCTCTACATACATCTGACTGTGCAACAAAAGTCAAAAAAAAAAAAAAAAAAGCACTAGTTACGGATTTGGACCATGTACCTGAACAGTAACTGGCTTAGACTGCTTTCAGAAGACACTGTGATCAGTCAACTGACCAGCCTATGGACAATCAGTTAAGCTGTAACCAACTGACTGGTTGACTGACTAGGTATTGACTAATAAAGTAGTTTTCTGTATCTCACTTCCGTTTTCCTACAAAGGCCATCTGACCACACGGTTGGCTGGAATTCTCAGAACCTACACTGCTTCGGGGAGCTGCCCAATTTGTGAGTCACTTTTGTATTTGCTTTACTCAGAAAAACTACTGAATTTAACTAGGAGTTTTCATTTAATTGGATATGTGAAAGTTACACACTGATGGGGAGGGATGAGGAAAGTATCAGGAATTACCTGAGACTAGAGCTCCACCTTTCCAGGAATTTCACATTACTCTGTTTTTTTCAAGCAGTTTTGAGAAGGTTTTGGAAATTATTAAAACGTAGATTGGAAGGAAACTCTTTTGAGGGATTCTTATTTTACTAGGGTAACATTCTGACACTTGTTGAAATGGAACAACATATGTTAAACCACAGATTACAGTTTATGGTCCTTGCAACACCGGCTGATGAATAATTCATTCTTTTCAAGGACAGCCTGCTGGAGGAAGGAATTTCTTCTCCACTGGTCTCTGGTCCAAAAGCCACAAGGAACTTCAAATACAAACTGGCTTCATCTACAATGCCCTTCACAATTAAAACCGTTAAAACACGAGAGAGTGCTTAGAGTGGATACTGGCACTCACTAAATGATCTGTCAGCAGGCTCAGTTTGACCTAACACGGCCCTTCAACATTAATCAGATTTCTCCCAGAATAGAGCACAACCTTTCCAGCACCTGTCTGCTTTTTATATGGTCAAAGGATTTCTGGGCGAAACTCCACCGGTCAAATCTCTTTAGAGAAGGAAAAATTTCAAAACAACTCACAAAGAAGAGTCATATGTAGACTCAATCAGGCTAGCACCAGATCCAATCTAGCGCAAGTCTATGTGAAACCTGCTTTTATTAATGTTATTTTCCTGTAGCTCTGCATTTCAAACAGATGAAAATAAACAAGCCTCCACATGGAAATTAGCATGGTCCATTCTGCATAAGCAAAACAAGGCTTCAATGCACCGAGAGCAGAGCAGCTTTTACTCAGTTGAACCGACCTAGACATAAAGGGAATACTTATCAGAATATATTTTAAAAGAAAATGATTGAGATTACTTGGGATTCCAGCATGGCATCTATCAAAACACAAAGAACAGGAATATCCCTGAGGGGGCTGGCATTTTCATGTAGCAAGCAAAAGTGCTGCCTTTGACGCTGGCATCCCATACAGGTGAAATTCCTGTAGCCATGTAGGAGACCCAGAGGTCGTCCTGGCTCCTGGCTTTGAATCAGCTCGGGCTGTTGCAGCCATTTAGGGAGCGAACCAGCAGATGGAACATCTCTTGCCCTCTAACTCTTTCAGGTTTAAAAAGAAAAAGATAGCCCTTAGGACAAATGGAGCCCACAGGTACACTATTAACAGTTTTATACTGAACATACTGGCACGTTTTAGGCTGCCAGGTTAAGTAAGTACATTAAATGTGAAATTCATAAATTACACTGACACATCAATTTCATCTGCTTTTTGTGTAGCTATGAGGAAATTTGAGATCACAAATGCAGTTTACAACACATCTCATCAAGGTTTCTGGACAGAAGTGATCATTTGGGGAAGAAGACAGAAGAGTGATAAAGAGGTGACTGCACCGCTCGGAAAGGTCGAGCAACGTCTGCAGAGCATACTGAGTCGGCTTGGTTTGCGGAGCTTTGGGTTTCAAAGGGCATCTCTGAGGGAATACTCTGGCTGGCAAGGCACATCAGGCTGGATCTTTTGATCTGACAACCGACTTGCCACAGGTGGCTAGATGCTCAGGGAGAATACAGGGGGCAGTCAGTTCAAACAGTGTGCGCTTCAGGAAGCAGAAACCTGGGGCAATGGCTCATCGCCTAAATTCTCGCCTTCCATGCGCTGGGATCCCATAGGAGCACTGGTGCCTGTCCCAGCTACTCCACTTCCCATCCAGCTCCCTGCCTGTGGCCTGAGGAAGCAGTAGGGGATGGCTCAAAGCCTTGGGACGCTGCACCTGAATGGGAGACCAGGAAGAAGCTCCTGGTTCCTGATCGGCTCAGCTCTGGCCATCACGGCTACTTGGGGAGTGAACCAGTGGATGGAAGATCTTTCTCTGTCTCCCCTTCTCTCTGTAAAGCTGCATAAAAAAGACATTAAAACACACAACACACACACACACACACACACACACACACACACACACACACACAAAAGGCTCCTGGCCGACTGGCTCATTTAGGAACTGTCCTCTGTGCAGAGATGAAAACTAAGGCCGAGTCAAGTTATCCACACTTGGGTCAGGGTGGTGTCACCTCTGAAGAAGCCAAGAGGAGTGAAGCAGAAAAGGACTGAGCTACGAGCTTGAAAGGCCTTGAATGCCCACATACAGAGCTGTTTCCTTTAACTCACCATAAGCATCTTATGCCTCCATTAATAACATCTCTGAGCATATGTGTAGCTTAAGTGTTTCCTCTGACCCCAAATCCAATTACAACTATTATTAGATTAAGATAATGGTAACCTATCTGAAACAGCTGAGCCAAAGGCTGAGAGGAGACCACAGGGCACAGAAAATTCTGTTGGTTACATCATGTAAGTGGAAATATCAATTTTATTAAGTGGAAAATGACCACGTATAGAAAGTTATTTTTTCATACTGTGTAAATTTTTAATAGACTGATTTTCTGAAGTGGACAACTAAAAGAAAAAGAGATAAATTTCCCATCTAAATGTATCTATTATAAAAAAAATTCCTAAATGGCCATTTTTATTTTTCTAAACTTCAGAATTTTGTCTAACACCTTTGCTTTAGGCAAAAAGGCAAAGGAAAAAAGGTGTGCTAACTAAGCTTAAAATGTCAAATTTTAAAAATGGTACCTTGCTAACCACACATGGCCATAGTACTCCCCGACAATTTCCGAGCTAAGCGAACAGGAGCACTGAGTTTCTCCAATTCTGTCTTCCACAACCGGCCATCAGCATGCTGCCATCCTCCAATCCCTCCCATTGCATTCATCTTCAGAATGACACGCGCTTACCACGCCAACAGCAAAACTAAGCACAGCATGTTACTTGGAGAATAACCGCTAAATTTCAGTTTTAATATAGGTATCCATAAAGAAAAAGTTGGTAACTTTATATAAAAATATCTATTTCACACAGTTTCTGCAGAATTTCAAATATTAAGCAGTACCCAAAGATAACAGCTTCATCCCCTGCATTTAAAAAGTATTACAGGGCCCAGCGTGGTGGCGCAAGTGGTTAAGGTCCTCGCCTTGCACACCCGGGATCCCATATGGGCGCTGGTTCTATCCTGGCAGCCCCGCTTCCCTTCCAGCTCCCTGCCTGTGGCCCGGGAAAGCAGTGGAGGACGGCCCAAAGCCTTGGGACCCTGCACCCGTGTGGGAGACTCAGAAGAGGCTCCTGGCTTCAGATCGGCATAGCATCGGCCGTTGTGCTCACTTAGGGAGTGAATCATCGGACAGAAGATGTTCCTCTCTGTCTCTCCTCTCTGTAT